GAGAGAGAGAGAGAGAGAGAGAGAGAGAGAGAGAGAGAGAGAGAGAGAGAGAGAGAAGGCAAAAAAGTGAAATTGGAAAAATGTTCAGTCCATATTGCATTCATAAAATTGGAACACTTGATAGACGTGCGGGAAATAGACCCGGGCACACGCGATCAATGTACATACTCAAATTTAATTTGTACAATTTCTTAATAATTACAGGTACCGTATCAACAAGTTGCAAAATGGATTCAATACTGTTATCTATTTTGTTTTGAAAGAATAACTTTCCAAGCTGATATCGGTCTTGTCTGTAACAAATCCATTTTTCGTCGACCCCACCTCAACCAAGCAAATCCTATTATTAAGCACAAGATACTCTCTATGTAATATCCATCAAAGTTCATATTGCAAATACCATTGTGCGTGTTCGTGCAAAACTGAAAAGGAAATTTTTATATTCTCAAACGTGTTTTATAAGTAATTATTTATACTACGTCAAAAAGTTTTAATATTAATACCAACCTCCCTTTCCGAAATTGTGCTACAATCATTCGAGGAATCGGTGCTGCATTGTCGAAACGTTAATGGATCAACAAACCAAAGAGCTGCGGTTGCTGGCCAATTACCTCCAAGATTAGATAAAGTATTTAATAATGTCATGTAAGTACCACCGACTGCTGGATCGCTAATTTTTGCAAAAAATGCCATCGATGCCACAAACATACTACTTGTGAAAATCTGAGAAAAACGAAAGTAACATAAATGAAATTATTAATTTATATTATACTTTATCCCGTATTTTATTTTAATATTTCACCTGATGTATCATGTATAGACTTATTAAAACTATGAAATAATAGGCTGGAACTTGTCCCCCTGTTACAACATATGGTGTTAACCATACTAAAAATGCTGCTACAAGTCCAAAAGCTAACCTGTAAGATTTATTATACATATTTATCATATTTATTTATTTAATCCAAATACATATTTTTTAATCACCTATAAGGCATAGCTCTTATGTATACATCCATAGGTCTTGGACCTACTGTATATTTTGAGATTGCTAATGGTAGTAATATTTGTAAAGGTATCATAGGCACAGCCATAAGAGCAAACTTTTCCTTTGGTATACCAGCTTCTACCAGTTTTAAACCTGTTACAGCATCACAAGCAGAAAACCCTATCTGTAATTGGTATAAGCAAATTAATATTAAAAAAAGTTTAAATTTCATTATATTATATTTATTATTTACTAACCTTGGCAGTTAACAAAAATACAATGATAGTTTTTATAGATGGTAATTTAACAATGTTCCATAATAATTTGTAAGCATGTTTGACATCTGTATTTAGTTCTCCATCTTTATGCATTTTTTCTGAATCTTCATGTTTAAACAATGCAACTAAAGTGGTTGTAATTACAAATATCCAACCCCAGAAATAAAGAACATCTACAAGAAAGATTAATAAAACATAATTGTCAATTTTTCAATATATGTTACAATTTAAATTAATTTACCAGGCAGGGTCAAGATGCCTTTGCTAGAAGGAGTGGATCTTAAGTAAGTATTACAAAATTCTGCAGATTCTAATGCTATAAAAAATACATAACCAATGAAATATCCAGCAGTTTGTCCCACGCTATTACATGTTGATGCATATCCCACATTACATCTAAAACAAAAAAATATAAAATTTTATTGAAACAATATATATATTAACATGTTAATTGCAAATTATATATTTATACCTTTTTAACATAGTGAGTGCCCAACCATCTACAACAATATCTTGAGTTGCAGCTAATACATTTAGAGCAAAAAATATTATGGTCAACATTCCTATGTTTGGTTTTGAAGTTTCATTACCCAACCATTGATCTACATGGGTAGATAATAATAGCATAGAAAAACCCATTAAATATTGCGTTGGAATTAACCACGTTTTTCTTCTTCCAAATTTTTGAGAAAATACAGAATCTACTATTGGTGCCCAAAATAGTTTCAGAGAAAAAGGCCATTGGACAAAACTAAATTCAGCCTAATGGTAAATATTCATATAATATCATTTCTATCATTTGAAACAATTCCATATGGATATTATAAATTACCTGTTGACGATATGAAACATTTCTGTTCTGAAGTAACATAGGGATAGAACCACATAAGCCCAATGGTATTCCTTGTAACAGATATAAAAATAAAAGAATAGCTATGTTAGTCTCGTCACCTCGTAAATCGGAACGTTCATGTACGTGATTCGATTCGTGGACACCATCTTCCACTTTGTCGTCCTTTTCCATTTTTCTTCTAGTACCCATGGAGAACGATATAAGAGATCAACAATGATCTCGAACACTTTTCTTTATTTTCCAACGAAATAAATATTTTACGCGAGAGTTAAATTTTTAATCCTTAACTAAATTTTTAACAATGTTATCAAACATCTTGTTAGACGATAATTATCATTCTATTATAACATACCATCCTAAAATATTTCAGCGTAGATCCCTTGATCAAGTAACATAAACATTTCTAAACGGAAGAACCACTCACGCGACAATAAAATTAATTATTAATGTATCTTATTATAAATGTATTATCATTGACGTGGTCATTGCCAATATAACCTTAATTTTATTTGTATAAAATATACAAAAACGAAATGTATGCTTATATGAGAAATTGACAGATGATATTTTCATAAAAAATAAATACTTTTAAATATATCTTATAATTATGTTACGAACAACAAGTGACGAACAGCATCTCAAACTGTTTCGCTTTCATTAAGTTTGCGAGGTATCATTGAAAAAAATTTGCAATGGCTCGTAAATGCCACGTTGTTTTTCATTAAGGACACGTCAGTTATACTTTATCTTTTTCAATCTTAAAGCCACGTGTGAACCCTTTATTACTGAATATAATCAATTCAATAGAAGAGCAAAATACTGTAGCTAAATTTATTTGAACGAATTTATTTTCTCACATAAAAATATGCCTTTATACGATGTATAATATTTTCATAGCAATCAATTATTTCTTCAATGAATTTTAAAAGATTAAGATAATATTTGTAAAAATGAATGGATATTATTTAAACTAGGTCTACTATCTAGAAAAGTTACGTAATATATAATATTTAAATAAGAGGTCATTGACTATAAAGATTTCATAGTACCGTATTGTAAGTTACATAAGATAGTGACTATGCGCATGATCAGTACGCCATTTTTATTAGTGAGGAATAGTGGAGAAAGAAGAAGGATACGCTTATTTCAGTTTTGTTCGACGATTTAAGTGATTAATAATTCGTAGATTGTTAGAAAATAAACTTGATATGTTTGTTTGATTAATAACGAGAAAATAAGAAGAAAACTGTAGTCAAAAATATATTTACGGTTGATCATTTTGTTACTGTTCATTTATTCAGTCATGCGCATTAAAGTTTCCATTTTTGTTCGGTAAAATAATTATACTTTTATTTTTCATGATGATTTTTTTATTGCTTTAAATATTTTAATTAATTTCAAAATACAATTTTTTTATAAATTCTAAAATTTAAAAATTGATAAATTTTTAGGTTTTTTATTTTTTATAAGTGTACACGTTAGAATGTTACAATTACCTCCATTCGAACCAATAATAGTTGCTGTTTTTAATAATTTTTTAATACGAACATTTTCAAGTTCTTTAGATATGTTATTTAACAATCTGTAACGATATTAAATCGTGTGTGCAAAGTTTTTAAATTGTTTTTTATAAATTATCATAATAATAAAGAACAAATATATACGTACAAATTGTTAAGTTGACGTTCCAATGCTAATTTTCCAATAAAAAAATCAACATCTTTCCTATGATTAAACCAATAATTCCATTGAATTTCACATGTAAATCTAGCAATACATGATGGTGTCAAAGATGTTTCACTTCCATTTTCATCCTTCTATTTAACGTAAAAATTAAAATGAAATTCATAGTTGGAAATAATAATTAATAAAACAAAAATTGTAAAATCACCTTGGTAATGTTATTTTTTAGGTTTGCTAAGATATAATTCATATAAGCATCTTTGTCTTTAACATTCGATCGTTTCCTCCTTCCCGATACAACTCCAAGCGGAAGAAGAACGGGATTCGTTGCTAAAGCAGCAGCTGCACCAATTAAGGCAACACCTGCCAATGCTTTTAAAGCTACAGCCTGATGCAAATGATAACAATCGATAATATCTTAAGAGATATGATAAATGGACTAACAAATTGACTGCAAATTAATCATCACCTTTTGTGCTTGAATATTCGGATGTGAAGGAACATGTCCTCCTGAATGATTTGGCTCCACAGGTCCGAATTCTTCGCCATTAGCAAAAGTTCCTGAAATACCGTAACTACTACCACCAGAAACTGATCCTCCATAACTTGTTGGTCGGCTAAAGCTATATCCTCCGTAACCGTTATTAACATAACCATATTCTCCAGATACGCTGGAATCGTAACCACTGGGTTTTCGTGAACTTTCGCTTCCATAATTCGGCCGTGAATCAAATTTAATACTTGTGCGAAATTACATTAAGCATTTGAAATATTAATAAGAAAATTGGAAGGAATTATATGTAATATCAAATTAAGTGCTTACCTATCTCCTATTATACTTCCTTCGTAGAATACACTTCCACCTCCGGGTTTTTTTGTGCTTCCTCCTGGTGGTCCTTGAGTTTGCCAGCCGTATCTGGATATTCTTTCGATATAAAACTTACGCTTTCGTAAATTAATCGCATTTAAAAAGAAAAAAAAAATACCTGTCAACTGGTAAACGTTCGTCGAATTTAATTGGATATCGATTGTTTTCCACAGGGATTCTACTGTAGTATGAATCGGGTCGCATCGATGAATTAGAACCGTATTTGGATCCGCAACAAGAACTAGAACGTGCACGTCAATTCAAAATTCAACTTGCAATTCAAACGTGATGAAAAATAATTTCCAAAACGTAAAAATACTCGACTTATCTTTTGATTCGGATTCCAATCGTTGATCTGAAGCCCGTGATTGTTTATCCAAACGATCAAATTTCTCGTTACCAGACACTACGCTATTCAGGTACGACTTGGAAGAATTTTTATTACGCACGATATTCGCTAATAACTTATTTTCGGATTGTTTTTTAACGAATTCAGAAGTTGTAACAAATTCATTACTTTTCGCTAATGAACAACAAATAACGGTATACGTTAACAAAACACAAACGAATTGCGACATCGTGATAACAAGTCTCTAATTAGGTAATATATGATAATAGTTTTTCGAGAAGAAGCAAAAAAGATTTTATTAGTAGAAAAATGAACGTCACGAAGAAAAGTGATTCTTTCCATGAGTTTCACCTTTTTTATATAGTGGCCACGCATGGACTATTGTCGCGCATTGTACCCTTCAGGAGTGGTATCAACTTTCTTCCTGTCGTTACTTTATTTCAGAAAGTTATTCCATGTACGATATATTATATAATTATTTTACAAGTTTTTTATTTTATAAGAATTTTATTATTATATTAACCTCTATATTTATGCGTTATAAGTAATAATTAATATCACAACAGCAAATATTATTTTCGATATGAAAATTTTATGAACTTAGTTGCGTCCCTGTAATTCACGAAGCATGACCAAAAGATGTGCACTTCTGTTGGTGAAAATAAAAGTGTCATCAGTAAGTCGACAATATTTTTACCGTCACGCTAAGAATTTAATTAACTTCGCTTTGTTGCCGCAGTTTTAAGTGAAATTTCACATTTTGACAGAAAGAGCAACAGCAGATCAAATTTCGATTTATTTGTAAAAAGAATTATACATATCTATCACATATATACATAAAGAATAATGTTGGATCATATTTTTGTTCTTGTAAATAGATTCAGAACAAATGTCGATTGGCATTGTAGGAATTTCATTCAAATAGATGAATTTGTTCCTTATTCGAAACTTTTTAACTCTCGTTTATGATTTAGATAGATAAATATTTATTCATCATTCATCATTATTCATTATTCATCATTTTTAAGCTTCAACAGATTCATAAATATTTTTTTTTCTTTTTTTTTCTTTTTTCGAATAAAAATATTTCATTTTTTCTAATCATAATCAATGTTACAAAACACAATAGGATAATCTGTTCCGCCTGGATATTTTTAGTGCCTGTCGACTTAATAACCGTGTGTGGTACCACGTTACAACATTCTTGGTACAAAATTTATCCATCTATTGTGCGTGAATCGTTTGCAAGTTCGAAACAAAAGAAACGACGAGGATTTTACAATTGTGACGAAAGGAAGTATCTACAGTTTGTAATGAGAAGGATTTGGACGGACAAAGAGCGTAGTTCCTGTGAATCTTCTTGATATTGATTATGTAATAATTTAATTGGAATTGAATTTTTTAATATATATTTATATAAATATCTTATTCGTTTGTAACTAGAAAAGAAGCTAGCGAAAAGAGATTTGTATTCCGTGCAAAGGGATTGAAAAGCGCGCAGAGACATTATGGAGCTAATTTAGAAAGGAAGAAAAAAAGAGGAGGGAAAGGTCGTGGATAGAACGGGATGATTCGTTACGCGGGCGAGGTAAAAAAGAGAAATGAAAGCGAAGAAAGAGGAGGCAGAGATGGGTGAGAGGGGTGACAAGAGAGAAGATACGACGAGGACCAAGAGATCGCGGAATGGAACAAGAGTGGAGTAATCAATACGCATTCACACGCGGTGGCTAGCATCCCGTTTCCATGGTAACCGACGCTGGCGCATGCGCAACCTGACCAACGTCATACTGTTATAGAAATTTACTTATCGTCAGAGACAAGTCCGTCCGTGTACGGCGCGGAACCACCAATCGACGAGCTTCGACTCGTTTCAAATCCCTTCCACGATATTCCACGTGCATACATGTGCATCAACATTGCGTTTTAAACCTACTGCAAATCGAGATGCAATCCGGATCCAATTCTATTTTCCAGCGTTACAACAATAATCAGCGTTCGTTACAACGTGCACAGTATTTCGAAGAGAACGCTCAACACCGTGAATGAAATTCTATCATTTGTCCCTTCGACGACGTAAGAGCGAAAAGCAATATATTCGTTCCTCTTGGATCGAAATAAAGTTAATCGTGTACGATTGTTCCCACGATGATAGTCATGCTGATGTATCGTTGTCACTAGTAGGGGTACAGTAAAACGTTTGACTCTCGGATGTTCACCCCCCTCTGGCCAAGTCAGAGGGGATGGAAGCTGTGGAGTTTGCGGGAAACAGGGGGTGATTTTCCTTCAGGCGCCTGCGTCGAGTCCTCGATGACGACTCGTCGAGGTAGGTGCTCGACCCGGACGCAGTACGGAAGAAACGTCGAGCACGCAGAGTGCCGTCCTCGTGACACATCTTACTCTTTTTTTCTTTCCCCCTTTCGATCCATGGCAACAAGAAAACGTGGGAAAGCTTGCCCGGTGAATTGTCGAATTATCGAGAAGAATTGTCGAACATTGTTCGGTGAGCCTATAATTGGACGACGATAACAATAATTACGCGATATCCCCAGTTTTCTGTCGTTGCAGTGACCGTAAATGACGAGGACAGTTGATATCATAGTCGAGGATTATCATATGGCTCGATGTCGCGGCAAAATAAAATTAACGTGCAATTTTTGAACGATTTCGAACGATACAAGTGATATTTCATCGGAACATTTTTTTGTCAACATTCATTGCAAATATATATATATATATCTCGTGTAGTGAATAAGTATGGTCAATATGTCGCGGTGAGGCAATTTGAAGGATGAGCCTGGATGAGGTTTCGTCTATGGTGTGTCTATGTTAAAAAGATATCAGGGAACAATCAAACACTCGATCTGTCGATCGTTCTTACTTACTGCCACCAACAGAAAACAACAGGTTGAATTAGTGATATATCGATATCAAGTAAATATCAAGATATATCGAGAGATTTCACATTTCGCATCGTGTAAACCATTTCTCGGGCCACGTCATCTCGCACATTCGAACATCTGCCAATTAGACGATGTATTTCCGGCAAATCGCCAAGGTTAATCGCCGATAAGCATCCCGAGATGTTCTTACCACCATAAAGACAGGCTTAGTCGCATTTAATCGGTTGCATGTGGGTCACAAGTTGCATTCGCCAAACCTAACCGGATAGAAGGTTTACCGAGTAGAGAGGTAAGCTTGTTAAATTGCGTTACGCTCCAGCGTTACCGCGCTTCCACTAATATATAACGGTGTAATTAATTGTCTTCTTAATGCCCCTTTTCTTAATGCTTCTCTCTCTCTCTCTCTCTCTCTCTCTCTCTCTCTCTCTCTCTCTCTCTCTCTCTCTTGATTATTCTCATATTTTTCGGCGGGATTCTTCGAGGATTAACGTGGGTCGAAGCAGCCGAAAATCTTTTTTTCCTCCAATTTGTTACAAATTATCGCTCCTCGATTTATAGCACGTTTTCGATTGCACTAAGAGGAAAGGATGAAATTTCTGGATATTTCGCAAATCGTCAAATCGGTTAGGTCGAAGTCACGTGGTGAATGCGGTTTACAGTTAACCTTAACCTTCCGGAAAAATCAATTCTTCGTTTAATAATCAGGTGTTCTTCAAATCGTATCATCATCATCATCCATGATTTGACGAATGAAATTCTTTGGCACGAAATATATATGTTTCGAAGTGAAATTAATAAGAAAGATAGAAGATGCAATTTTTCTCGAGCTTGGAATCTTGGCATTCTTCCCTGAGAGGTTATTCGCCATTCAATCTTCCGCCGAATATATCTTCTGAACTGTACGATATTCGATAATATTGGCTGTCGTAAGGGGAAAGTGGGTATCGCCACCGATAGCACACTTTTCGAATCTTTGTTTGCATTAATTTCATTTATAGAAACCTAACCGGGACTATAATGCTCAGGGACACCGATACACCGAGCATCAAGGATTATCACATTTGGATTATATCTGTGATCTTGTTTTAAGGTTTCATTTTGCGCCGTCCGTACACAGTTTGAAACTAGACATCGAATATTTGAAAAAATTTGAACTCCTCGAGACGAGAAATCGTGGAAAGGAACGTTTTACATCAACATTTACATCGTTCGTGACGCGACACTTTACAGGCCGATTGTTTACTCGATTCGCATCAAACGTAGTCACATGAGAAATACGCGGGGGGTTATCCCACCGCAAGTGACACTAGTGACACGCTCGAGGGTTTCTAGTGGGTGTCATTCAAAATACGAGTCAAACGGCGAGGGACGACGTTTTACAACGTCGATGTTGACAGGGAACCGTCTCCACCCTACCACGATGCCCTTCCTCGTACGCGCAATCTTTAAAGGAACGGAAAACGTTTCTTTACGGGTGAAGAGGATGAGGAAATGGGATGGCGAAAATTAAAAATTCATATCACGAATCGAACACTCTCGAGTTCTCGGATGCTTTCATCCTCGTTTCTCAAGAGAGAAGAGTCGAAGGATCGACGCGACCAAGTTTTTCCGCCTCCTCTGTGCAACGACGACTTTTCGAGTTCGATGCTCGCTGGAACACGAAGGAGAAAGAAAAAAAAAGAAACGCGGGGAGAGACGCGAAGGGGAAGAAACCGGGTGAAAAGTGGTTCTTTGCATGCACATCCACCGTAATGAGAGAGTCATTCTTCTTGGTTCTCTCGCGAGTGGAAACTTCTTCGCGCGAAAGACGCTGTCATCTGCATAATTGAAAACTATGCATATACTCGCGAGTGAAAAAGAAAGAAAAAAAAAATATCCACGAATCCCCAATTCTTTCTTTAAAAGAAAAACTGTAGAAGAGAAAGAATTTTCTACGTATACATATTTCACTCTCCACGGAGTGAAATAATCGATACCCGTGCAATCGTCGTGAAAATACCGTACCATACTCTCTCCTTTCTTTAATTCTATATCCACTATATCCACATTTCGAACAAGAAGAGAAGATTGCTTTTCAAAATCTCGATATCACGCGTTTTTTCCTGAAAAATCGTCATCGACTCCAGGGGAAGGGGACGCAGTGGAAACGTGCTCGTCTACGAATCCTTGAACGAGCAACGAAACGGGCAAAGGAGCATCGAGTAATACAGAAATCAAGAGAAGTGAGAGTGTCGGCGCGGATGGAGGAAATTGTCTGACTACCCTCCCTTTTCGGTAACGCATCCCCTCGTGACTCGAGTTAACCAGAGAGAGAGGGAAGAAAGGCTTCCACTCCGGCTTTCAAGCGGAACGGGGGAATGAAAATCTGGTCGAATCTTGCGTTCGCGGCATATCGAAGCTGGGAAAAATAAAATTCCCGCCGCCGGTCGATAACGCGCCGGTTTCCGGCCTCGTCAGGGGAGGTTCGAAGAAAGGAAACGCTTCCCCGTTGAAGAGTCACCAGTCGATGGGATATCGATGGAACAATAGGGGGAAAAAATATTTTCCTCGAAGATAGAATTTATCTTCGAATTTCTCGAGCAGAGCGTTCGAAAGTAGATTTTCAAAGAGAAGTGACCAATAATTATCTATAATCTTCGATTATATTATTCTCTGCAATTCTGTAAAAATTTAGCCCTCCCTTAATCGAATGGAAAAGGAAAAGAATGGGAATGGAAGGGTGAGGTTGCGTTGATGTAGGCGACAGAAGTGTCGTCGTTAAAAAAAAGGTAAGCGCGCATAATCTTCGTGTATATACGATTGCAGAGCATTGGAAATGTGTGATGTAACACTCAAGAGATTGAAACGTTCGCGACACGACGCTTGAATTGAAAGCAAACGAGAACAAACGAGCCGCGTCTCTCGCAAATTTCCGTTGTTTCCGGGTTTCAGACGCCATTTCATATCGATTTGACAAAGTGTTGAAAACATAAAGTGTTGAAAACACGAAGTGTTGAAAACACAGTTAGAGAAAAACGCAAGGAGAGAAATATCGGATTCAATGTTCTATCGAAGCTTCTCGTAAACACAACGATTGTAAACACATCACAGAGAGGGGTTGCATTTCCATACATTTGAATTAAACCGCCCACCAGAATAGAACGTCCGCCACATCTACGGTTTTCTTTAACGAGATCGAGAGTTGTTGACGAGCCGGAAAATGGATTTTCATTAACTCGACGAAAATATTTTTCCTCCCTTCTCGATGAAACTTTCGCCTGAATAACGATTTTTATTCGCGATTTAATATTCGTTGGAACGGTGCAAACGCGTTTCATTCGTTACTTTCCCTCGAGATCTTTCCCTCCCGTTTCCTTGGCCGTGCTGTACACGCAGAACGTGGTATACGGGGGAATCCCATTTGTAGGAGCGTCTACCTACCGGCGAGCATATTGCCTTCCCAGACCTATTTGCGTACGCGTGTTTGGGGCGCGTGAGGGTGCATTCGTTTACCCGAAACTCGATTTCGAAGCTTCGGTAATTGAATTTCAAGTACGTCTACGTGGCCAGCTGTTGATACGTTTAAGGCCAATATGGGAGGATATTCCTTGTTTCCAGATCATCGCGTTAAATGATAACTCCATTTCCATTTCGATCCTTACCATCTTTCTTCTTTTTTTCTTGAATGTCTGCATATTTACTTTACTTTACTTTACTAGATTTACTTTACTCCCGATTTAATTTTCCTCGGCTCGGAGTTTAAAATCGATTAAAATTCGATCCCATGTTTCCCAATATTTTTCGATATTTTTCTTTGTGAACTAACTTGGAGATAACTTGGAGATTCGTCGTGTTGCAGGAGGAAAATGTGGAGCTCGGTTACCGCGGCCGGCACTGAGAACGGGCCCGCACCACCTTCCAGAAGCAAGCACAGCGCCACTTTACTCTCCGGCCACGTATATCTCCTCGGAGGACGAAACGGCAACCTTCCCCTCAAAGATCTTTGGCGATACAGCCTCGGTAAGTGGCAATTTTTTTCCCTTTCCTTTTAAGCTGTTAAACTGTTTCTGCCTTCGAAAGAAAGAATTGAAAAACGCGAGACTCGTGGAAAGGGGATGAAGAAATAAAAATTAATACGCGATGTCTGAGCACATCGGAGGAACAACATCTCTGACCAACGCCACCCTACCATCTCGCTCGGTGAACGAGAGGGTGCGCGAGGGAATTTAAACGGGGTTCAGTCTGATCAATAACACGCCATTATTAAAGCCAACGTCCGTGTCAACTAAATCCGCGATACTCCACAATTATACCTGTTTCCACGGGGATCGTGGACGTATATTAATTGAACCCTCGTGCGATAATCGCCTCGTTTCGACTTCGAAGAGGATATTAACCGGATATCCGTTTGACTCGGTCAACATTTTTTCAGCGATAAGGATCATTCGGTTGAACCTAGCCAAGTTTCGATTGGCAACGCTTTAAAGGTATTCCCCGTAGACTTTGTTTTCGGACTCGATCGATATCGAGAATTGCAGGCGGATTTTAAATTCGCTCCCTTTTCGAAACGGCGCTATTCGAATCGATTCGAAACACGAGGCGGAACCACCTCGTTACGATTCGATATATCGCGTGAATATGTAAAATGTGAAGCGGATTCGTCCAATGGGGTAATAGAATTTGCAATGTTTGATCGTGGCTTCGAGATGCCCTATTCATCAGCGTGGATTGTTCGAGTACAAGTTTGGGTGAATATTAAAGCGGTATCAGAAGGGGTTGGTTCGTCTCCCAGGGGGGCAAAATACTATCCAAGAGCCCCTCGGCGTGTTTTCAAAGCATCGTCGATATACTTGGTCTCGCGGAAGTATTATTTGGGACCGCGAGAGCGCTTCATCTTTTTGTTCTTTCCACCCTCTCCTCCTGATTGTTTAGCTTTCGAGCAGAGTTTATTCGTTAAATTTGGATAGAATCCACGATTTTGTCCAATAGTTTTTTTTTATCCAACGCTCTGATCGAGTTTCTTCCCGATCTTTCCCTTCGGTAGCAGAAGAGCACTTTCAACAGGGGACAAAAGAAGCGCATTGCTTCTTCTTCTTCTTCTTCTTCTTCTTCTTTTTCTTCGTAGCTCTAGCTAGATACGACACGTTTGTTCGTAATCAATATCGGGCATCTTTAGTGCCAGACACTGCAACCACTTCACCCAGCACATTATGACTCTTATGTAAATTTCACGCTCTTTGTTCCCGAGCACGTTCCACGAAACCGTGACTCGGATAAATTTTAAGCGGTGAAAAAATATTTCTTTCGATTTTCGCTTAGAAAAAGGAAAAAGACAGAGAGAGAGAGAGAGAAACCTTGTTTCCCTCCTTCGCTCGCACGATACTTCATGCGCCGTTGATTTCCTTTATTTTTTTCTCCGACTAGATTAGGGGAGCGTCCCTTCTCTCTTTTCGCAAAACTTGCGAAGGGTAAAGAAGAACCGTCCGTTCTTCCTGTTAAATCCATCCGATGAAGGAGCAAGGTTTTAACGCACCCTTCAAAACCGCGTCTCGCTCAAATGAATTCAGAAGGTTTTATTCGATCCCCCTTTATGTGTTTTTTTTTTTTTAAAGATTTTAAAAAAAATCCTAACTTCGCTCTTCCATTCGAGATTATTATCTCTCCAACTCCGTTTCTCCGCGTCCTTGACACTGCTTACATTTAATCCCTCCCTCGAACTCCCATCCGCTCTTACCACCGTGTTCCTCCGTTTCTTAAGAAGCCCCAACCAAAAGCTTCGAGGATTTATTTCAGAGAGGTAGATCGCAGGGGCGGGGTGAAAGTGCGTTCGAAAGATTTTCTAGATCGTGGTACACCCCCTAGAGACGTCTCTTCTCGCGTGTGTCTGCCTCCTCCTCCACTCTCCCCTTTTCTCTTTTAATTTTGCGCAACGTTGCTCCCCGATACAACTCACCTTCCGATCGTGCTCTTCCACTACTTTCGAAGATGCTCTCAAAAAAAATAAAGGTTTACAAGGATTATTGTCGAGAAAGTTCAGTTTCATTCACGTCGTGCTCTTTCACTTACACCTTCTTCTAATTCCGAAAATGCTGTCAAAAAAATAAAGATTTACAAGGATTATTATCAAGTGGAAGAAAGTTCAATTTCTTCTTCCGCAAAGTGGGCCAACACATCGAGAATAATTAAATAGTCGTGAATAGTTAATGAATAATTGAATTTGGTAAAATAAAATCTGTACGTGTTATTGAATGAAGGTTTACAAGGATTACTATCGAGTGGAAGGAAATCCAGTTTCATCGTGCTCTTTCACTTTCTACCTTCTTCTACTATTTTTGAAGATGCTCTCAAAAAAATAAAGGTTTACAAGGATTATTATCGAGTGGAAGATTTCTTCTTCCATCAAGCGTCGTGAGGGAATAGTTAATTAAAACGCGTGTTAGAATAAAATCTTCTACCTCCTTCTATTATTTTTGAAAATGCTCCCAAAAAAATAAAGGTACAAGAATTACATCGAGTGGAAGATTTCTTCTTTCGCAACTTTCTTCTTCCATCAAACGTCGTGAGGGAATAATTAATGGATAATTAAAACGCGTGTTAGAATAAAATCTTCTATCCTTTTCTATTATTTTTGAAAATGCTCTCAAAAAAATAAAGGTACAAGAATTACATCGAGTGGAAGATTTCTTCTTCGGCAATGTATCAAGCGTCGTGAATCTGTATTGAGTGAAAGATTTCTTTTTTCGCAACTTTCTTCTTCCATCAAACGTCGTGAGGAATAATTAATGGATAATTAAAACGCGTGTTAGAGTAAAATCTGTACGTTGAATGAGAGTTTACAAGGATTACTGTCGAGTGGAAGGAAGTTCAGTTTCATCGTGCTCTTCCACTTTCACCTTTTTCTACTTNGTGGAAGATTTCTTCTTTCGCAACTTTCTTCTTCCATCAAACGTCGTGAGGGAATAATTAATGGATAATTAAAACGCGTGTTAGAATAAAATCTGTACGTTGAATGCTGTCGAGTGGAAGGAAGTTCAGTTTCATCGTGCTCTTCCACTTTCACCTTTTTCTACTTCCAAAGATTTTTTCAAAAAAATAAAGGTTTACAAGGATTATTATCGAGTGGAAGATTTCTTCTTCCATCAAGCGTCGTGAGGGAATAGTTAATGGATAATTAAAACGCATGTTAGAATAAAATCCGTACGTTGAATGAGGGTTTAATTAAGGATTATCGAGTGGAAGGAAGTTCAGTTTCATTGTGCTCTTCCACTTTTATCTTCTTCTACTATTTTTGAAGATGCTCTCAAAAAAATAAAGATTTACAAAGATTATTATTAAGTAAAAGAAAGTTCAATTTCATCGTGCTCTTCCACTTTCACCTTCTTCCAATATTTTCCAAAATGCTCTCAAAAAATATAAAGGATTATTATCGAATAGAAGGTTTCTTTCAAAGTGGGCTAAGGTATCATCATGAGGGAATAATTAACGCGTTATAGAATAAAATCTGTACGTTGAATGAAGGCTTACAAGGATTATTATGGAGTGGAAGGAAGTCCAGTTTCATCTTACTCTTCCACTTGCACCTTCTTCCACTACTTTCAAAAATGCTCTCAAGAAAAATAAAGATTTCACATCGTGTTTTTCCACTTGCACCTTCTTCCACTACTTTCAAAGATGCTCTCAAGAAAAATAAAGATTTCAGTTTCACATCGTGTTTTTCCACTTGCACCTTCTTCTAATTCCGAAGATGCTCTCAAAAAAATAATAATCCTTTACAAAGATTATTATCGAAGGTTTCTTTCAAAGTGGGCCAATATAGAGCGTCGTGAGGGAATAGTTAACGGATAATTAAAACGCATGTTAGAATAAAATCTGTACGAGGGTTACAAGGATTATTGTCGAGTGGAAAAAAGTTCAGTTTCTTCCAAAGCGGAGCAATACATGGATCGTCGTGAGGAAATAATTAATGGATAATTAAAACGCGTGTTAGAATAAAAATTATACGTTGAATGAAGTGTGGAAAACGATCTCTGGTAAATACCGGTGGTATTTTTCTTAACCGCGACTTCACCCCTCCCCCTCGCGCGTATAATAACTCGGGAAAGAGGAAAAAAGCGAGGCTGCATAAATCTCGTTTGTCCTCGACTCGATCTCCCTTTCCTCGCAAAGGGTCTGTCTGGGTCTGCATGTGAAAAAAAACTGTTTTGGGATAACGAGTCGACGCGTGTTGTTAACCCTTTCTTCTATTTTCTTTTCCCAGCCGACAGTAAATGGGAGGAATTGCATCCTGGGGGGGAAAGGCCGCCGGCACTTCAGGAGCACAGCGCGGTCGCTTACAAGGATTGCCTTTATATCTTTGGGGGTGAGCTCGGATTTTCCGCGGGCACGGAAACGCCGCTTTGGGTCTACAATGTCAAGGTAACGTATCACCTAAGGCCAAACCTTTCCCCTTCTCGAGAAAGGGCTTGCAGGGCGAACGTGAACGGAACGAAAGGGGAAACCGTCAAGACTCGATTCCTCGACATCTCTCTTGAGATCGCGTGTGACTGTCTCATCCTCCACGGTTAAATTTCGTTGGTCGAAATTTCGTTCCGTCCGAATTTAAGCGATTCGATTTAGGAAAGTGGGGTAAGGGTAGGGCCTCGAGGCTACCTCGCTTCTTCCTGTCGTCGAGGATCTACACCCCTTTGGTCGGGTAAATCGAACGAAACACCATGTTGGCCTTGATTGACAATATCTTGCTTCGATGCTTTTCAGAGGATTAAGATTAAGAACGTTATTCTTCTTATTTGCTTCAAATTGATTATTTATATTCTTTTCGAGTTTTATCCAACTTCTTTCATCCTCTTCGCGAATTACGATTCTTTATCATTTCTTTATCGTTCTCTGATCGAATCTGACGATTTTTCGTAACTAACCGGTGTCAACACCTCTCGCTTCCCTCGAAATTGAAACGCTCATCCTCCCAAGGGTTTCTCTCCACCCTCAACCTGTACGTGTTGCCGATCATTAAAAATTGATAAATTCAGGCTACGCACGAAGGTTCCTCAGTTCCTTCTTAATAGTTTATATATATCTTCCTTTCAACGGGGGGTGCGAAAAAATAGAGGAAGAAGGGATCTGCAATAATCTCGAGTGATTTTTCCTTCGTTCTTCTCGCGTATAAAAATTATCTCCGTTTAATTTTTCGCGCGCAATCTAAACTTTCTTTTTTTTTTTTTCCTCCTTTCCTCGGTCGCCATGGTTACTTTGCTCCTCTGCATTTTTGCTCATTGAACCATGACACACAGGGACATTCCCCGCCCTGCTTGTCTCCTCGTAATGTATTATTGAAATCCGCGTTACGAATGCGCCCGGCAAACCCGATTGGTTAAGCCAGAGGGGTTGCCTCGCGGTTTGCTCTCTCTCCACTTCGTCTTCTCTTCGTTAAAATTCTCTCTCTCTCTCTCTCTCTATATATATATATATATATATATATATATATAGCGAATCGAAGGTGAAGGGGAAAAATGGTATCCAGACGAAACCTTTTCTTTTCTTTTTTTTTATCTTCTCTTTCCCTTTCTCCTTCTTTTTCTAATTCAACTCGATAATTAATCGAAAGATCGATTCTTCGAAGATCATTTCGATCATTTCGAAGATTCAAAAATTATCATTCGTAAACTGTTTTCAACGCTAATTTCGCGGCGTTTTTAACGTCGATGGTGGATTTAGCTAGTATTCCACCCTCTCGCAACCCCCTCGTATAATACGGGGGTAGTACGCAAGTGGCCTATCAACTTTAGGCACGTACTTCGAGTTACGTAATTACTTTCAGCACCCTTGCCGTATATAGCTTGTACACCTTCCTCCCATCTTTCTCTCTCTCTCTCCTTTCTGCGCGTAAGATCCGCGGACCCTTTGGCCCCTGAGCCAACGCATATTTCTTTCCTTTCGTTGAGACGGCGCGCCCGTTGACCGACTCGAGATAAAAAAGACTCGCTGATTGCCTATTTCAGAAATATTGTATAATTCACGGATCCCCCGTTATTTCTCGCGTCTTCCATAATATCGGCTATTTTTCTCCCTTTCTAATAATGCCCTTCCCTCTGACGAACAAATCGTGCGTCACTCACGTAATGTAAACGTCCTACATCTTTTCATCGGCGTTCATTTTTTTTTTTTTTTTTTTTCAAGGTGAAGTTTTTAATAATAGATCGATCTAACGAGAGCGAGAGCTTTATATTTTATACGCTTCCCCCCCCTCCCCCCCTCTCGAATAATTTCAACCGCAAAATTCTATCTTCGGAGGGGAAACAGGAGAATCGGAAAAAGGAGAGCCGATCTCGAAACGAAAGTGATAACGTATTCTCTGTATCATCTGTTGATCGAGGATATTCGCTATGTTTCTAGAGCAACGTGTGGAGGAAGGTGAGGGCGCAACGAGGTTGCGCCGTTCCAAGAGGTCGAAGAGGTCACACCGCTTTGGTTCATCGCGGCCAGATGCTCATTTACGGTGGTTACCAGGATTTGCGTGGCAGCTCTCCGGAATTATGGGCATTTCATTTCGGTAAAACAATCTCTGGTTATTTTAAACAGACATCTACGATTTCGGTTTTTAATGCTCCATCGCTTTCAGAGACAGAATCGTGGCATCTTCTGTCCTCGAGCGAGAGTGGGCCAGCGGCGAGGCACAAACACTCGGCCGTGTTGCACGGCGACGCTATGTACATTTACGGCGGTATGACCGATCTTCAAGAGAGAAGCGATTGCTGGAGATGGGACGTGAATACTGCCTCTTGGTGCCTGTTAAGGAACAAACCGGGACCGGGCCCCCTTCACGGCCACGCGGCCTGCAGGCTCCCCAGTTGTATGCTAATTTTTGGCGGGGAAAGCGGTGGCTTGGCCACGAACGAACTCTGGAGGTTTCATTTCGGTAAAAATTAGTATGAATTGTTATACATCTCTTCTTGATGACACCTCTGTGACCACTTATATTCCGTATATATATATATATATATAAAGTATCCAAAGTGGTTGCAAAGCGGTTGACAGATCGTTACAGGTTGATTGAAATTTGTTGAAAGGTACGGAAACGTGGGAAAAATTATCAGTGCCAGGTCCCAAACCCCAACCAAGAGCGGAGAGCGTCGCGTTAGCGGTTTCCGAACTGTTGATTCGAGGGACCAATATCGATAATTCGAAGCCGAAACCGAAGAATCAAAGGACGAGGCTGTGCAACAACAGGATATCGCCCAATGAAGCGCCAGCCAGGCCGAGCTTTCTCAAGGAGATTTCTAAATTATCACAAATTAATCTTTCACGGTTGAGCCATCCAACCAAGTGCAGCTATTCCGTTTTAAGTGGGCAGGACGATAACGAGGAAAGTCCCCAAGAGGTACGTACTTTACTTTATAATATAAAGTAATAAAACAATTTCTTCTTCTTCTTCTTCTTCTTCATCTTCTCTTTCGATTTTTGAAATTGCACACGTGCACCTACTGCATCAGTGGTAGTTCATCAGTATTACACGCACACGAAACGCATGTGACAAATACAAGCCTGCCTGCAGGCGAATACGTATTATCCGTTTCAGCAAGTGGACTCGGAAGTTTGCGAGCCATCGACGGGGATGGTGAAGTCGCGAAGCGCCAACACGTTGGCCCGTCGAAGGCAAAAACCTGCGGAAACTGCGTCGAAAAACGCGGAGGCTAGTTGCAACAATCCGACCAACAACTCTGGAATGACCAGAGATCCTATCTCGGTGCCGAATTTCCGCGCGTTGACACTACCCACCCCCGTTCTCACGCCTGTGGAAGCAGCAAGGCTCGTGTTCGTCGACCTGGACGAGAATAGCGACAACGAAGAACGAACGGAACCTCCTACCTCCAGGCTGATAGAGGTGCAGGAGGAGAAACGGTGAGAGATACTCCTCCAGCGAATGCGCGCTATAACGTGAATAACAGAATTTCTGCGAATTTTTCCAGAGATTTCGCGGCCGTGCACCAAGCTTGCCAACCGACGCGGGGCGAGAGTTACAGCTCTCACCTTTACGAGGCCGCGCTTCAAACGCCAAAAACGCCAACCACCTCGAAAATTCCCACCTCGGCTTCGGTTCGATTCGCCGACTTGGAAGAGGGTGAGGAGTCGACGTCAGATTACGCGAGCATAGAGGCCAGAAGTCCTGGGGATCCCCTCGCGGACGACGATTGGCCGTCGGGTCGAAAGAGCAAACAGTACCGTCCCATGGTCACGCCGTCGACGATACGCGAGGGCCAATTCGGCTTTTGCAATCCGAATTATCTTGGACTGGACGAGACGAAGAATCATCATTACCATCATCATCACCACCATCAGCAGCAGCAGCAACAGCAGCAGCAACAGCAGCAGCAGCAGCAGCAGCAGCAACCTCAAGATGGGAAGTACGCGAAATTATTGAACAGCCCACCGGACAGTGTTTTAGAGGACGAACCAGGAAGATCTGCCTCGCAGACATTCGCGGAACTGTTGGAGCTTCAAGAAATCAAAAGAGTGCCGAGGGCACCGCCTAAAAGTTTACCGTTAGGTTCTCCGTCTAGAAGAGCAGTCAGTGCGTCGAGGGCCGAAAGGCAAAGGGCGAAGGTCGCCGCGATTGAAGAGTCCGAGACGCCTTCGTACGGACCAGCGCCTCTTTACGTGTTTTTAGTTGGAGGGAAGGAGAAGGGCCAGGTCACGGTGTTCGCGAGGCCCGTTTCATTGTGGAAATTGCAATTAGCGCCACACATCTTTTAAAGAAACAAAAATATGATAAGTAAGTTCATTGATTTTATTTTATATTTTTTTTTTCTTTTTTATTAATCTTATCTAATATTTCTCTTAAAGATTTCCTCGAGTCGAGTCCTCGAGTCAATCGAAGAAAGATTTTTCCTCAGAAAGACTTCCTCCCGATTTTGTGTTTTAAAATATTAAGAAGAAGAAGAAGAAGAAGAAGAAGAAGAAGAAAAAGAAAAAAAGGCGACCGATAAATGCACTTTTCTTAATTGCCAAATGTTATATCATTGCAATTAATCATGTTTAGCTCGTAGAAAGAGGGCTTTTCTAGTTTTCTATATTGATATATTTATTGTTGAATACAACGTTTGTTCAGGTAATACGCACTTTACTTCAAAAGTCTTGTCAAGTCCATTTTCTAGTCATTTTTTTATAAATAGTATTCAACTCTTTTAAGTATTCGATATTATATTATATCGGAAAGTATATAATTAATATACAGTGCAATATGTGAAATGTGATTAGAATGTAAGTAATTACTTACTCTTTTACAACTTTGGATAATGTATATTATTATTCCACAGTTATTTTCTTTAAATTATTTTTCTTCTTTTTCTATATCTAATTATCATTATATCAAATTAAGAAATATTATGTTATATAAAATAATTTTAAAAATGAGTAAGTATTCTCTCTCTTTTCTTTTGAATAAATATATTTGAATACTACATTGTTAAATAAATATTTACATAATGATAGAATTCTCTTAAATGATATAACATACACATTATTGATTTATCTGTATGCAGATAATAATAGTATGGATTCTGAATTCAAATTTAATTCACTGATTTTTTTCTCGTGCATTTTAAAATAATTGTAATAATAATCATCATAAATCATATTTTTAAATCAGTGAATGAAACCGGAAAATATTGTATTCTTTAATAATGATTGTTCTATTATTTGATTTACAGAGCAAATGTTAATATCAAAGCGCAAGTCAAACGAGTGAAATGTGCAATCCTTTGTCTACGACTGCGTTCTTTCAATCTTAAATGGTATACGTAGCATCTTATAAGAATTATGATTAAGATCGAAACTTTAGATCCACGTTTGTTATATTATACATGATACAATTTTTCATATTATAGTGAATAATACGAGTGATAGATTATTTAAATTTTTTGATTCGAAAATTGAGAGATAACATCAAAAGACTCGCCTGATCTGCGCTTAACTGCCATCGACTGTGAACATGATATGCATAGAAAATAAAATAGAATTAAAATGTAATAAGCTCGACGTGTTTGACGTTTAAAACATTCTGAATATTAAATGGAAATCAATGTGTGATTGTGCCCAATTGTGAATAATTAAAGTACGTTTCAATTATTTGATAAAAATTAGATTTTTATAAGAAGATAGATAAATTTTAAGTGGAATTTTCTCGTCGATAATCTGAAAACTGGACTAAAATCTAGAAATAATTAATGAAAACCAGTACGATTGATTTTCGTTTTAACTTCATCACGAAAGGAGATATTTCTAACGCGCGAAACGTACAATCGTATAAAAAAAATTGTGTTCTAAAAATATTATAGGGAATATGTATAAAACAAAAGAATCAATGAAGTCAAAAGTCTTTAACTATGACTGTATTTATGATGCTAGCGTATCATAGATCTGATAGATATATCATAAGCGAAGAAAATGGTAAAATACGATGGAAGATCTCTTGTTCATGTAGAGTTTTTATGCCCACAAAGGCCCAATACATGTAATCCATCCATATATAGTAGCAAAGGTCAACGTGGAACCTCATAGGCTGAATATTAAAATACTTTGTATTCATAATAATTTTATATTCATTTCATATGAAACATAAGAATAGAAAAATTTATCTGTCCAAATGTTAATTTCTCTTGTAGAATATTTTATAATAATAAAACTGTGTTTAGGATTTAGTAAGGGCATGTGCAATATGTACATATTATATAGATGTATATAAGTATTCTTTGTTGAAATTAAAACTCTGTTTAACAAAATTATTTTTGGTAATATTCAGCTAGAGGCCGCAAGCACCCGAAAAAAATCAATGTTTTCCATTCGTAGCACTAGTCAATTTTACATTTTACAATCATTGTACAAACAAGATTAAGATAAATGTTTCGTAATGTTATTTCTCTCCTAGAATTTTTTAGCCTAATATTTATTCATTTTCAATATGTACAGTATTATCCATGATATTTTTTTGCATTATATAAATAATTGTTCCCGCAATCTTGACCATTTTGGCAAGAAATTAACAATTATAATTAATTAATTAATCGTACGAAATATACATATATACCGCCTTTAAATTTTCGATTATCTTGTAATTTCATAGTTCTATAAGTTTAACCAATTTCGTACGACGTACAACTTAATTTAACGAGAAAATAAATTTTATAATTTAAAATGAAAGTAAAAGCCAAACAGAAGCATATATTTAAAATAATTAACATTTCCGCGTAAATATTATTTTAAGTCCTATACATGAATAATGCAATCTGATAGTCAATTATGATCGTATCGTTAAATATATCCGTTGCCAAATATGTACCTATTTCTCTTTAGAATGTTTTGCCTCATAAACAAGATTCGGAGTATAAGCTCGAAGATGTGGGTCAGTTCACAAAATGAACAAAAAAAAAAAAAAAAAGTAACAGTGTAGCTGATTTGAGTGCCTGTACTTCATGCAAATATATGCATCTCATATTTTTCTGGACACGAATAATTTTTCGGAAAATATTTACCATATTATCTTCTGGCTTATGCTTCTCTTTAACATTATTCATAATTATATGTTGTATAAACGAGGCGAATGGAAATAAAATACATGAAAAGGCGGTATTATAATATAATGTGAATAAAAAAAAAAAAATAAATCGCGTGTTGTTCCAGTGGAATCTCATATCACAGAATGCAGTATTTTTTCAACGAGTAAGCCTTACGTAAAGCAAATGACCCGCACTTTCTGATTTTTCTATGTTAAATGTCAGACAATATATGTATATTATATGTATATCTATTTATATGTCTCCATTTAAATGAATAGTTATAGGAAAATTAACACCATTTTAAATGAATATGCTAATGATAAAAATAATATATAAGTTACTAAAATCTGTCCAACATAGAAAATAGTATTAATTACTAATATCTTTAAATTCTAAGTTAATGTAAAAACAAATATGTAACTAGATTTATTTAAATCATGATATTTGTTTAAGTTACAATATTTTATTTTAACAAATGTAACCAACTATTTATTTGCATTTATGTGCATGTAATTATTTATTAATGATAAATACCATAATTAGATTGTGGTATTCATATAATTTGATAAAATGAAATACAACAATTTAGTATTCATATGTTTCTAGTTTACATAAAAAGACCAATGAAATACTTATATATATAAATATTATCTCATCATTTTGAAACGAAAAATGTCCCTAGCATTTGGCGCGTAAATAAATATCGCGCCAAATCAATTAATTATGGCGTCAAGTGAATGTGAATAGTTGGTGCAGTGTATCTTCTTATGAAAATTTTATAATTTTCTTGTTTAATGCATGCAAAAATTTTTTAGATATATTGTCTAATACGTATTCAATTAATTATATGTAATATTTTTATAAACAAATATGGATCAGGACAATTGTTCAGTGACATGTTCCGTTGTAATCGAATGGACTAATTCACAAGGTTCGATTGTAAAGAAAACAAATCATCGATCAGCAACTTTACGCTTAATTCGAAACAATTTTCGTGAAATTTATATCGAAATACGTGCAGAGAAAGCAAACACAACCACGAAATTATCGCTAATATCTATATCGGTTTTTAATAAATTTATGACCGAAGGAAAAGCTTCTATTAAATTTAAAAAAGAAAATTGTACACTATTTTTATCGAATGCACCGACAACTCAATTAATCAATTTTTTGAAAATGATATACATCAAGATCTTGGATCAAGAAGATAAAGTGAAAAATCCAGTAAAAGAAAAATTACTTTCTAATAAATCGTTCGTTGGTTATCAAGAAATTAGTCCCGCTACAAGTACCGAAACGAATAGAGCTAAAGAGAAGGCTCTCGTTGTATCACGTGCAACAATTACGACACCATCCCCTAGCGCTGTTAAAAAAAGAAAACGGATCGATGAAAATGAAAATACATTGAAACCATCTACTAAGAAGAAACTCTACGAAAATCCAACAATAGAACAAGTTACGGAAGAACAGAATAGAATCTTGGATGCAGTACTTCGTGGTAAAAATATATTTTTTACTGGCAGTGCAGGTACTGGAAAGTCTTTCTTATTGAGAAAAATAATAGCGGCTCTTCCTCCTGACGTCACGATTGCTACAGCAAGTACCGGAGTAGCGGCATGTCATATAGGCGGAATAACTTTACATCAATTCGCTGGAATTGGATTAGGAACCGCAAATTCGGAAAGATGTTTTGAAATGGCTTCTCGTAGTTCCTCTGCTGCTTTATGGAGAAAAACGAAACATTTAATCATAGATGAAATTTCTATGGTAGATGGGGATTATTTTGATAAGATTGAAGCTGTTGCTAGACATATTCGTAAAAATGAAAGACCTTTTGGTGGAATACAATTGATATTATGTGGAGATTTTTTCCAATTACCACCAGTTTCAAAGAAAGATAAAAAAGCAAAATTTTGTTTTCAAAGTAATGCATGGACAAAATGTATACATTTCAATTATGAATTACAAACTGTTTACAGACAAAAAGATCCTGAGTTTATCAAAATTTTAAATAATATTAGAATAGGTAGAGTGACAGATGATATTGCAAAAATCCTTAAGGCAACAGCTAAACAAAAAATAGAGAATAATGGTATTTTAGCAACAAGACTTTGTTCTCATGTAAATGAAGTTGAAGAAATTAATGAATTTCAATTAAATGAATTAAAAGGTGAATCTAAAACTTATATAGCACAAGATTCTGATCAATCAATGACTAAAATATTGAATCAACAATTGACTGTTCCTGATAAATTAATATTAAAAATAGGTGCTCAAGTAATGTTGTTAAAAAATATAAATGTTTCTAATGGATTAGTGAATGGAGCAAGAGGGGTAGTTATTAAGTTTGCAGATAATATTCCAATAGTGCAATTTAAATCAGGTATTCAATATCATGCAAAACTCGAAAAATGGAATTTAAGAACAAATATAGGAACTATTGTTCATAGAAAACAAATTCCATTAAAATTAGCATGGGCTTTTTCCATTCATAAAAGTCAAGGTTTAACTCTAGATTGTGTTGAAATGTGTCTTGCAAGAGTATTTGATGCTGGTCAGTCATATGTAGCTCTTTCAAGAGCACAAAGTTTGCAATCTTTAAGAGTTTTAGAATTTAATAATCAACAAGTATGGGCTCATTCTGATGTACTTATGTTTTATAAAAAATTTAGAAGAAATTTACAAGAAATGGAAATAATTCCTGTAGGAAAAAAGCAAAAAATATAAATGAAATAATCATGTATAAATAAAATATTATTTTACTTATTTATATTTTTATTCTTACTTATTTATTACTTATTACTTATTTATAATTTTATTTCACTTTTTAATTTTAATTTTTATTTTATTTTATTTTTTTTTTTTATCTTTTCTTTGACTACTAATTGAAATCAACTAATTATATTATTTTAATTATGTTGAGAAGATATTGAGAGAATTGAAAACACAAATTTTTTTTTTACAATTTATTAAAAAAAGTAAAAGTTTCTAAATTTTATATATAATTGCATCATAACAAAGCATAAATATATTTTATTTTTTCTTTTCCTTTCATTAAATATTACAAAATCACGCATTTAATAATTTCATATATATATATATATTAATAATCGTCAACTGTGATTTCTATTGATGGTATATAACGCCAAGTATGTCCAGCATTTATTAATTCTGAACAAAGAATTGGTGTATTTGGAGCTGATTCTTTACTGCTACATTGAATATCTATTTTATATTGACCAGCTGTAAAAAATACTACACGACATTCGTGATAAATTCTTCCATATTCTTGTAACTAGAAAAAAAAACAAAGTTATCAGAGCAATATAGAATATTATTAAGATTTTTTTTTTATCAATAAAGTAACTCACTGCTGGAAGCATAATTTTATTTGCACCAGCAATGGATAATCTTGTTTCTAGTTGATAATTATTCACGCCATTATGATGATCTTGATAAAAATTAATAGATAACATAAGATCACTCAATGGATGTTCTAAAGCATTACATATTCCTATTCCGACACTAACGCATTCACCTAAGCTACATGTAAGTTCATCTTGTGCCTTTACAACTGTATCATTTATTTTAATCTCTGAAAAACACACGAAATTATTAATTATTAGCATTAAATGAAAAGCTATTGTGTACAATGATTAGTAAAACATACCCCATTGTAGAGGACTCATTCTAACGAGATCTAACATATCTTGGGTAAGAGTAATGCCAGAAAGAGTCGCTTTTCCGGTCGATTCTGTGCCCAATAATTGCCAGCGTAAATCAACCAACGATGCAATATGTTCGGAACAAACTTTTTGAAGTTCTCCGATATCACCATTTCCATTTAACTGTATTAATAAAATATAAGAAAAACAAATATTTTTTTATTATATCATAAAAAGAATTACATAATATTTTTAATTACCATAGATAATTTATTCAATGGGCATCGATCAACTGGAACAGGGATTCTACAAGGTTCTTTTCCCTCCATATATATACATTTAGTTTCCGTATAATACAATTCCATTTCATGATTAGTCATATTTGTTAAATCTAATACAAGATAAAATTGCGATGGTCTGAAAATATATTACAATTATATATACAATATATAAATATATTATATATTACGACATCTTATATGTACATTCGTAATCTAATAATATATTATCTACTTACGTTTCTGCTGGAAGTACATCCCAATTTGTAATTTGCACACTAGGTAACATCTCAACTGTGATAAAAACTGAAGAAATACGACAATAACCTGCCGTTAAACCTGCACCACCCGAATATTTTATTTTTAATTGACCTTCAATAACATTTGAGGTATGCAATGGAACTGCAAGTTTAGACAAACGCGAACTCGCTAAGGAAGAATGTCCTGAATGAGAACTTAATCCTGACCTGAATGAGGAAGTTAATTCGGATTGTCTCTTTGTATGCGACGGAGAACTTAATCTAGATGGTAATGAACTATGTCCTGAATGAGACATTAAACTGCTGGGTTGACTAACATATGTACTACTACTAGTATCTGAAAACATATTTAAAATATCTAGCAATCAATTAAATTATAATTGTTATAAAAAATAATAAGAATAGAAACAGTTTTTGTTCAATATTACCGTTTCGAGATGTAGGTGCTATAAAATCGGTAGCTGCATATAAATATAAAATAAAACTAGCATTAGAGCCAGGTTTTAATGGTAATTGTGCCATTAAATTTTCATCATTCCATTTAAATATTTTACTTTCAGTTAATGTGTCTAATGTTGATTGCACTGATAATTCGATTGTTTCGATAGGAAGTTGACCGTTATTTTTAATTGTTATAGTACATTCGGCACTGTAACATTATTAAGTTCTATAGAAAAAATTATATAACCGATGTTTTATTTATTTAATAAAATATACCTTTCTCCGCCATATAATGATATACTTGCACTAGTTACTATATTGTCTCCAGAACAAAAACTTGCAGTTTGAGGTAAACTTGTAGCTACTTCTATTCTCGGTAAAGCTGGAACTACTTCAACTGTATATTGAGAATGACTCATTTCCTCCATATATCTTAATCTACAATTTGATTTCACTCCCAATGTATGCGTACTAAAACCAAGAATTTCTAAATCTCCGATTTCTTTAGGATTGCCAGCTAACGTTACCGCAATTGGTCCTGATTCAGCAGGAAGTGTAATACTTTCAGGAATTGATTCAAATACTACACCATTTGTAAGGAGTCTCATGTTAGAAACGTGAAGTTCAAACGGCAAAGGATTAATAAGTTGCATCGATACTTCGCAAATATCACCTTCTACCCATAAATAATCTGTAATCATTATTTTACAATAAATATAATTTTATAGGTAACATCTAATCAATATACGTACCAACTTTACTTTTAGATATATTTTTTCTTTCTAATGATCCGAAATTAATTGGTGTAAATAAAAATGGACCATGATCTTCTTTCACTCTTTCGATTTTTTGAGGTTGAAGATGCGGTTGCATATTTTTTAAAATAAATGATTTAGTTTTCGGAATATTCGTTAAATTAGCAGGAGGTATAACTGTACCAGAATCTAAAACCTATTAGAACAATTTGATTAACAATTTTGGAAATCGCTTCATTTTTCCTTGAAACTTACAAGAGGTACAGGAGCGCCTTCGCATTGTTGAGATACATTTTGAAGTTGCAAAGCAGTTTCTTTACGTTCGTTAGGAGTTAAATAATTATACATTGTTTGAAGTAAGAATGTCATATGTCTTGTTGCTAATGCTGGATTACCCATACGATTAGCAGCAGTAACAAGTTCATTTATTACTTGAATTTGAATAATAGGCCAACCTCTATGACATTCTATACAAATAAATTTTTATTTAACATTTTCACGATAGCACAATGAAAATTTATCTATCCATAAAAAGAAATTACCAGGAGACATATCAACTGGATCTAAAGATAATTTAAATCCAGAAGTAGCTTGTAGCATCAAATTATAACATTGTTGCCAATCTGGATTAGGATTATTTTGAGATACATGTCGCGTTGCAGCTAATCTTAAGCAAAAGGATGCTTTTCTTATAAAACCAAAACTTGTGTATAAATCTGATAATGTGGTAAACCGATCAATCTACAATATTGCACAATTATTGTTATATTTTGATACTTAATAAATCAATAACATTCCAGATTATGTCACATACTTTCTCTTGCTCACTCAATGGCAAGTTTATAAGTATAACATTATTTAAATAAGAAGCAGCTTGTAAAGTACAATTTTGTTCTATTGAAATTCTTGTAGCTTTAAAGCTAGCTTCTGTCTCAATTATTCCAGCATATTGATATTTGCTATAATGAACTATTGCCTCACGATATTTTTTTGATATTTCTTCAGGTAGTAAAATATGTGGCATATTACTTTTTACTATTTCTATAGCTGGTGGTGATAGTAAAGTAGCTATAGCTTGTGAACCTCTTCTAAATATAATAATAAATTATTATCTATATTATGTAAGATATCAAAGTTTCATATCTTAAACTATTTTACTTTATACATACCTTTGCTTACCTGGACTACCTTCTTGAAGGGAAGAATTTCTTTGTAATGGAAGACTTCTACACATATTTGGATATAGCACTAAAGCAGATGCAGCACATAAACCTTCAAATGCTGCTCCTAGCCATAACCAATCATTTACAGCTTGTAATACACTAGCTGCAGAATTATAATTACTCAAGGCATCTGCTGGTAGACCAGCTTGAAGACATAAATCACCTAAATGTTTTGTCATACGGCCTACACATCTTTTTCTATTATTTCTAGATTCCAGATCTAATCCTATGAAATCTTTTTTTTCAAATGGTGCCAACAAAAGGGAGACTCTGTCTATTTTTTCTCTAGATCTTTCTAATCTTTTAGATTCTAAAATCCAGAATAAAGAGTTTAGACACTCCATTACATGAACTTCAAGATCAGGACATGTCTCATCTGTATAAAATACTGCTCTAGTTTTAAAATTTAAAGGTGTACTAAATGATGTTGGTGGTTCGTGTACATTATTTGATTCTAATGGTCCAAAAAGAATAGCACGTGAATCATATAATGTTGCACTGTATTTCACTTTTAAAGTTTCATGAACTCTACATAGCTCATTTAATTCTGCTTGATTGTCATATTTGCCAAAAGTAATTAATCCTAATAATCTTCTGTGAGTTTGGAAATCTCCCCAATCGTTATTTTCAACAGGATGTTCCCTAACGAATCTAGCAAGAATTTCACGTGTTCCACCAGTAGAATCAGCCACAGAAAATCTACTGCCTGTTTTAATTATCCGTTCACATAACCTGGTAATAGTCTTTTGTTTGATTTGTGTACCAATAGGTCTCAAAAGTAAAAGCAATGCTGCATGATCATGTGCAGTTTGCTCGTAATCGGGATGAGACATCTTGTTGTCGGGTACTGGACTCGACAAAATAACGCTAATAGCCGAGCGCATTTATATCACTCACTACTTAGTAGTTTTTTACGGTACTTATAGGTTCACATAATAATAGATAATAACAGATATATAACAATTCTTTAACCGAATAATCGAATTTTGTATTCATTTTACAAATATTTAATATTTCATTTCATTTTGATAATTGTTGTGCTATATTAGCAGACATGATTAATAAAACAACTGCCATGTTCAACAAACAGATCAAATGCGCGTGCGTTACAAGAAGTTTATCAAGTAACACTCGTATTCGTATTATTAATTATTGGAAAAGGATGAATTTGTTAACCTTTTTCGAAATATATTTGCTGTAATAAATGAAAGTTTTTAAAACTAATATACAAATAAAATCCATATTGTTATTAACATAATTATATTTTATTTTATTAAAGCTTTAATATAAATTTTATTAAGTTTTTTTTATAAATATGGAGCATATAATTTTATAAAAAAAATATGTATTTTGATATATGGAAATTATAAATATTATTATTGAAATTTCTGATAATTGCAAGAAAAGTTTTAATTTCTAGAAAATATAAATCTCGCCTTAAGTGGAAAAAAAATACATTTATTATAATATTATTAATATTATTTCTATATTTTCAAAGCCTGTGCAAAATTGACCAGCAAAATGATAATTGCTTTTTAAATGTAAAATACTTTGTTAAAGATAAAAAATATAAATTTTAATAAATAAGAATATAATAGATAAGAATAAAGTATAGATATTAAATTTAAAACTTTTAATTTTTGCGAGCATAAATTTTATTCAATGTATTACATACATATATTATCTTTATCTATTAAATTGTTGTTACATATATTTATTAAATTGTAGATATACATATATTATACAGAAAATTGGCACATTAAAAAAGTAAGATACAAAATATCTTACTTTAATTTAACAATTCTTACTATATAAAAGAATAGGTAGAATGAAATATATTATTATAAAAAAGAAAAAAATAAAAATTTAAAATTAAAGTGAAAATATATTAAAAAAGTATGTAAATTTAGAAAAATTTAGAAAAAATTGTTTAAATGTATACAGAGATATATTATACAAGTAATATATATAATTGTATATATGTATAATTGAATATAATTATTCAAAGATTTTTATTTAAATTGAATTATTAATATAAAAAAAATTTATAAACTATTCTTTTTTTTTTTATTTTTTTCTTTTCTTTCTAAAAGGATAAATATTAATATTATATTTTTATATAACAAAAATATCTTACTTATATTAAGTAATAATAAATAATTATTATATATATTATAAATAACACAATTAATAAAACATTAGATATTTATTATGTGTTAATATCATGAAAATGTAAAAAACAATTTAAATGCGTATATCTATGAGAAACTTCAACTATTTTTTTTTTTATAATTTTTTTAGTTAAAAAATTAAAACAACTATTATAAAGATATTAATTAAAATGTTTATCAATACTGTAAATATAAACGCAGTACTATACCTGATCTTTATCTTAAACATCTGGCACAGAATGATCCATTAAAGTTTTCAATAAACTGTTGTTCATTCTAAAGAAAATAATTGTGATAAAAAATTCGCAATATGATATATTACTCATAATATTCTATATTAATGGATACATACTTTTTAATCATATGATCATAAATATACGATGGAATAATCGTTATTGTGATTATATTTCCGCCATTTTCAATTTCTGCCGTTATTTCTTTATCCATTAAACCTATAACATTCTAAAAAAAAAAAAGATACTTTTCAAATTTATTGAAATTTGAATTAAGCATGTAAATCTTATACATGCCACAAACCTTTCCATTAACTTCCAATATTTGATGATCTGTTAAAAGTCCATTTCTAGCAGCTGAAGAATCTTTTACTAATGCAATTATTTTTCCATTTTTAAATTGAAATCCAATATGTCCTGTACTATCTTTGTGCATTGTCACTGTGCGTTCAAATGGCCTAAAAACCAATAAAATATTAAATAAAAAATATTGAAATTATATATTATATAATCAATATTAACTAACCTATCTCTTACTATTACTTTAATACCATTAATATCAGCATTTCGTAACATTTTATGTACTTGTTCCATTGTATATCCAGCAACAAAAACATCATTGATGCTCAAAATTTGATCTCCAAATCGTAATCCAGCAAGTGCAGCAGGCGAATTTTGACTTACTAGGCATACAAAGATGCCGTTATTTACAGCATGCACTCTTAAACCAATTTTACCATCTTTATCTTTGCATAGTATCAACTAAAATGATAAAATCAAATTATTTTGGCAAAAACTATGCTTTTTTAGCATATATCATAATTATTTATATTATATCAATTTGATATTAATATATATATTAAATGCATATATATGTACATATAAACATAAATGATCTGTTATTTCATACTTCTCTTATTCCATTTGTAACTTGTGCTCTCTGTAATCCTAAAGATTGTCCAGACAAAGGTGCAATTATGCCTGCTAAAGGACCTGAAGTTGTAGAATTATTTACTGTCATCTGAAATGTAGATTTCTAAAATGTAGTTTCTATAATATAAATTATATTATGTATATTTATAGCACGATTTACAAGAGAATATTCAGGCATGTTTTGTGCTATCATTTCTTCAGTAAATTCCAAATCCATATATTTTCCTAATGAAGGATACAGTGCAGTAGAAAGAGAATTATAAACAGGTGCAGATGGACCAGTTTGTTCATGTGATATAGGTGGAACATTATATTGTGATTCTCTTTGTAGTTGAGCCTATAAAAATAACAAATTATATAATTACAATATCACATAAATACTATGTAGATAATTTTCTCTAATTAAGAATCTATCTTACCTTCATCATATGATCTACTTTCATGTCCTCAAGCGTTGGATATAAAGACATTTTGCATAAATTTTTCTAGAAATAAATATACCAACATATAGTATATTTTAACAAATAAAAACAATTTTTTATAATTAATTGAAGAATATAAGATAATAGAAAACTAAATTATTTGTTACAACAACAATAACAACAAAAATATTATAAATAATATAATACATATATCGACATGATGTTGTTATTTAAGAATTCTTGCATGAATGTTTATATATAGTTTATATATAGAAATGTTTAGATATTTTACCTTTAAAAAACAACCGATAATATGTGATGCTTGTATTACAAGTAATTTTTATTTGATGTTGCACTACTTTATGTATACGTCAACGAAGGTACACGTCACGACAGATACTTAAAGTATCATTGATGAACTACAAGTGATGAACAAAACAACTTTACTATTGGATCATGTTAACATCAATTCTGATAATGCCATATATTGATTGGTTTAAGTCATTATATATAACGTGACATTACAAACAAGTGATTGGATTGCTTTATCTTCATGTGCCATTACGTATTACCCTTTCCATTTTTCCTTACCAATCATCTTCATATTCTCTTATAACCATGTAAAAGTGCTACAATTTAAAAATTCATCATAAAATTAATCAATACAATCAATCTAAATAAAATAAAATTTAAATAATTTTTTTTACTTTTCGATATTAGTAGAATATTCATAAATATATAAACAATTATTGATTAAATTTTAACTATTTCGTTTTTAAAACAAGATTCGTTAATATTAAAATATTTTAAAATTTCATCAACTAAATATATATAATGCTAATGCAAAAATTATTTTATATGATTATTAAATAGATTTCTATGTATAATATTTATTTATAATATTATTATAATATTTATTATTTATATATATTTTATATAATGTAACTTCATATCGCAACTTTATAATTCTAAATAAGAAATTAAAGTAAAATAAATTAAATTAAAAAGAAAATTGAAAAAAATATAAAAAAAATTATTTTTAGGAAATTATATATAAAATTTAATGAAACATATATATATCGCTTGATATGATCATGAAGAAAAGACCGGAAAACATAAAACATGGCGATTGAATTCAACTTCGTTGACAAGTTAAAGACGGAATGGTATAAAAGTGGGGGAAAATAGAATAGTGGGTAGGGGAATAGCGGGTCGCTGGCTTATACATGAGTTAGTTGGTATTCAGTAGTGAGGCCTCCGTGAGGGCCGTAGTGATCCGACAACAGGTGTTTTAGATTTGACGCTGCGATTCCGGTTTTCTTTATTTCTTAGTAGTGTTCACACTAATATTTTTTTTATTGTCAAATATATTTCAAATTAATAAAGCTCGTGGTATACCGCGAAGAAAACGTAATTGTAAATAATCGTAATGATGTCGGAGACCGTTGTGACGATGGACGGTTCCAGCAACAATCCCAGCAACAATCCTCGACAGGTGCCTACCGTGAAGACAGAACCGGTTCAACCTAGCCCTCTAGCAGACATTAAATTGAACGTGCCCTACTTCATGACGATACCCGGTATTATTAAACTCGTACAAGTGGTGAGTACGACATTACATTGTTTTTTTAATTTTCATATATACATAATTACAATAGAGAATAAAATAAACAATAAAATTAAATATAATTATATTGCATAGCTGAATCATTACAAAAGTAATTTTTACGATAATAGCAAAATTTGTTGTATTGCAATTTTCTTAAAATTATATTTTATTTTTTAAAATAAGTGATTAGATATTTTTACATAAGTGAAACGAAAATAGAATATCGCATATTAGTAGTTATATATTAATAAATCTTAACGTATTCTTTCTGCGTTTCAAAGCTATATTGTATTATAACTTATCATATATCAGATTTAAGAACATGTTTATCTTTTAGGTTAGCAATAAGTTTTATTTTTTGCGATGTAGTTAATCCCGTTGGATTTTGGCAGACATTCATTATTGTTTTTAGCGCTACGATCACTGTTTCTTTTACACGGTATTGTTATTTTAAACGCATATTTTTAAGCGTTGCATAATTTTGCGTCTAATATATTTTTGCAATCTTTCAAGAAATAAAAAAATATACGTAGCTTCAAATTGTATAATTTACATTATGATGTTGAATTTGCAATGGCATAATTGCGTAACGGTATTATTTCCTTGAAATAATTAACAAATTATTATCTATTATTTTAAAACAAAAAAAGATAATTTCTATTTATGAATATTGACGCTATTATTATTATTAATACTTTATCGATATATATTTATTTTATAACATATATCTTTTATATTTCACTGATATTCTCTGTCGAAATCGAAGGTACCGTTAACTGATCGGCATCGGTGAGCATCGTTCTTCTTTGGTTCACGCACGTGCAGTCAGAGACACGCCCGTTGACGTTTACATTCGCTTGTAAATAAAGAGCGCCTTGCTTTCGGTTGCTGCAAATAGTCTTAATACACGCAATAAAATATAAGCGAGAAAATATATGCGTAACCAAGCGATTAAATTACCAACAGATAGAAATCAAATACTAAGCTATTTATTTCACGAGACTTTTTCTATCCTCAACTCATATTAGTGCGTTAGAATGCAAAAGTTGTATCGTATAAAATAATTCAATATAATTATTTTGTATTACGACTTATTTCACGTCAACAAATTTCAAACTCATGATTTCAAGTTTCGAAAAATTATCAATAATGTATTCAAAGATCGAAAATATCAGTGATATTAAAAAGATAAGAAAGAAAAATCAGGTTTTGTAATCAAACATGATAATCATGCATGATTGTTCGAAATGTTGGAACAATTCCCGATTGGTGGCATAGTTTCGATTCGTTCGACACACGTCCCTAAGAACTAGACACACGTTCGATGACCATACATGTTCATCCCAATGACCGGGACCATACGTGGCGTCCCACATATTCACAGTTCCATCCTACTACCATAGCGAGGCCGTACCAACGGTATCGGAACGACTCATTAAAAATTTATATGATGTCCTTGACTTTTTCTCGATGATTTTTGTTCTCCTACCAATTGATTTATCGCTAATAATCCATGTATACGATTATGAATCAAGATTCATCAAAATTTTATACCTCTTTGCGTTGAAAAATCAAATTGTTACAAATATAATTATCAACGATAAATAATTTTTTTGATTTTATCTTTTTTTTTAGTCATTTAAACTTTAAATTTTAACAACGAGAACTCAAGAACGAAATTATGCGCGGAATAATTGTGAAATAATCCAGCTAGCATAACACAATTGCTATGTATCGTGTCATTCACATGCGTCATATTTATTCTTATATTCATACTTATACCATACATAGTTTTAATCTTACATTACATACATATGTTATCCATGAATAGAATGAATGTAATATTTTTCATGGTCATCGACAATATAGAATCTACAACTTTTCCAAGTGTTCGTAAACTACTTTTGTTCCAGAAAATGTATATCCATAGCATTTCATTATGTATTAATAAATTAATTATCGATGTTAAATCAATTCTTTTTAAATCAATTCTGTTTCACAAATTTATTCCATTAAATGTGAAAACAAGGGAACAAAAATTTCTTCCTCTTTTATATGTAATTTTCGTAATGATGTACGCAAATAGAAACGAATTACGAATGATTTCATTAAAGTTAATTTTATGTAATTCTTTTCGATAAATCGCAAGAAAGAAACGCACGAAAAGATTATATTGTTGAAACATGTATGTAAGTATATTGTTATCGATGCTATTACTAATTTCATAAAAATAAACATTTCTTATCTATATCTATTTGATATATGACGTATATTCTGCGTGATGTTAAAGTATTTTTGGAAAAATTTCAAAAAATCAATGTGTAATACATTATTACTCATATTAACACCTCTACAAATATTTGATAAACGGAAATATTTAAAGAACAAAAATATTAGTTAATCTACAGACGAGCAATGCAAGATTGCATAATTATCGATTATTACCACGATTGCAAAGTCACTAGGGTCATAAGTATCTACGGTGTGTAAGTTGTTCACGAAGCATATCGGCAACAAGTTATTCAGCGAACTCAGTTAACGCATGCAAAGAATCTTATACGCAAGGACAAGCCGCACCTTGTAATACAAACTATAGATTCAATTCATAAAAACTGTTTTTCCGTGTTTGAGAAAGTATAGTCTATTAGATTATTTCATGAATTTTTCAATCGTTAACAATTTATATTTCCGATATCAATCTTTAAATTTTGTAACGTATGCATCGTTGTAATCTAATCTCTTAAGTTTTAACATTATTTCTATTTCATATTATGTTTATAGACGATTGTCTAAACAATCTACTTGAATTGCAATAACCTGTTTGCATTATTCATCTTTAGTTTTTTGTTTCTTCTTTATGGAATGATGCAAATCAATAAAAGTATAATTTATGTAATAAAATACACACGCGACTTAAATATAAGCATGCAAGAAAGTTTGAGAACGTTAGAAGAAATATTTAGAATACGAAACATGACGATACGATGCGAATTTTACGGTTTTTCTTTTTTTTTTTTTTTTTTTATAAAAGTAACTTAAAATAACTGTTGTACCAGATATTATATGAAACGTGTATTCATATATGAATAGTCATTATTTTAACCATAAATATATAACCTTATTTAACGCGATTTACATTGCTAATTATATACAGCTATTTCTATAGTCTGTATATGTGTTTTCATCGTGATTATATGAATGCGATAGGATCGTTGGCTCATTGAAGTTGCTTAATTGTTCAACAAATCGTAATATTACAACAAATAGATTTTTAGATAAAAAAAAAAAAAAAGATTTCCATCATAAGCGAACGATAGTCTTTTAAATAGAAAGAAATTACAACATCTTGCAAAGTAGCGTAAATCCTGATAGTTTGCCAATTTGAATGAGTGAAACGAGCATGGAATATATCAATTTATGCGAATCGATCAATGTTTCTTTTTTTTTCTTTTTTTTTTTTTATGATTCCCGATTTCCGGTATTGTTGTTACAAAAAATGAAAAACAAAATTATTCATTTCTCGGAATTTACGAGTCCAAATATCAGAGAGAATTAAATTCATAGATAAAATGGGCTAATCTCGCATTGTCGCGATTACAAAAGTGTTATTTCTGGAAAGATTGGATCAAGCGTGGGACATCCGAAGTGATCGTCGTCTTAAAGAGTACACTTACATCATCTTCAACATGAATTTATAAAATCCTATAGCTATAAAAATTCATCTCGTTGATTTAGTCAATGTCTCATCATAGCGGTAAATGTCGTGGTTGTTGGTTTAAATTGGAAATTGATGTCTCGAGAGTTTTGATCTTCGTGTGAATTTTTTTTTTTTATAATTTAAATCTTGAATTGAGGTCACACGATTTAGTTTAAAAGTTTTTTTTAATTAATTTCGATTAATCGTGAAACGATTTAAACGATTATAACTTTTTAAATTATTATTAGCACAAATTGTACAAAGCATTTCTTTAAATTATCTCAGCCTCGACTAACTAAGCGATTTTCTGCATGCTGCAGATAGCTATATGATCACATTTCACGTGGATGGAAAGACTCCTGTTGCAATTTCTGCATCCGTTTATATTCTTTTATCATTGCTTCGTTTTCATTTTATATCGTACGTTTATTTTATATCGTACGTTTATTTTATATTACGATAGACTCAAGATATAACTCTAATAGTAACCATGAATCTAATTCATAGCATTCTAGTTCCATATTTTCTTTAATTACACATACGATTATTCAATAATGAAAACTTGGATCTCTTGAATATTTAACGTTTAGAATTTAGATACATTTTCTTGAAAATTTTTCCCGCTCCTTCTTCTTCAAGCTGATTAGATTTTTTTCAATATTTCTGGATCTCACTTCCTTTCATTTTTTTAATTACATATATGTTCTCGAGCGGACAAGTATGTATATTAAAAGTGGCACGCTAAGGTTACATGCAGATCATTCCCCTACCATGAATAATAGTATAAGCTAATAGTAGAACCTCGACCTATATTTCCTAACAGCTACTTATCCTCCGTAAAGTTATTTTAGGAATCATCATTATTCCACTTCTCTCATACGAGTGATGAACAAATATCATTCCAATAATAATGAACGAAAAAATCTAAACTGTTTTCAAAAGTATATGAGTCGTTCGAACGACGATATCTAACTAATGTTATTAAATTGTATAGATTGTTTGTGTGGGTTATTCGATGTTAGGAATTCTCAGTTGAATGTTTATCGCGGTCGACGACGTTTTCAAACGGTGAAAGTGAAATTCTTCCTTCGGTACATGGTTTCAGCGTTCCAATCCTTCGCACTTTCGCGCCCGTTCACCCTTTCATGCATTCCTGTCTCTTATAATACATTATTATGCATATTTGAATTTCATAAATCAGATATAAGGGGATGATCAGATATGGGAAGATGTAGAAAGGCTTGGCACAACTTTATATTTTCCATGTAATAGATAGTAAAGAATCTTTGTTACAATATAAGATGCTTTTAGCGGATTAATGATAAGTTATGATTAGACTGCGAATTGTATGAAATTAAATAATTTTACGAATATAATTAAATATAAAATTTAAAAATATTTGATTCATTTTTCAAATGTGACAATGCATATTATATTTCATCTTTTTATTTCATGTAATATGTTGTTATTTAAATTTTTCTACATTAAAATTTTTGCATAAATATTTGCAGTTTAATTATAATTGTTTCACATAAATATTTATTGAGTCCAATCCTCTGAAATTTGCTCTCGTTTTAAACATAATTTTATGAGATACATAATACTCGTTTATATTTCGACGATTGAATCCGGTTGATACGATAAAGTTTGATCGATGTTTGTTACCTTTATGTTTCAAACAATAGTAAAGAGGAAGTCAAAATGTTGAAGAAAAGAGTTAAGTATAAACACGGTTGGACGCTGATCGACGAAAATATCGAAAATGTGGAACGCGTGAAGCTCAATCCCGAGATGCAGCGAGAATTGGGTTGTTTAGTTGGTGAACACGTGTTTCTGGAATATCCATGGGCATATGTGGATCGAAACGTCATCGCAAAATACGCTAAATTGTCGGATTCGTCGTTGGCACCTTTTCGAGAAATAATCGATATTTACGAAGCTGACACATTTCTCGTGGGCTATTCATCTATTCAATTAAATTCCGATGATTTCGTGATTTGCCTCACCGAAAAAGCGAAACGCCTTATTCGGCAACGGAACAAGACCATTACCGGTATTATCTCGCGCAAAGTTATCGACAGAGTAATAAAAACCGCAAGATCATGGAATTCGTTGGGTAGCGACACGGAAGTGGATGAAAATTTCGTAAGGAATAGGAGAGAATTTTTCGAGATAGAAATCTTATTGCCTGGGAGAATGTTAAATTCCTCTCGAACGTTAAGCGATAGAGGTGCAAGTGATTCCAGGGACAGTTACATACAACTTGTAAACGAAGACGAGAAGTTCGAAAACATCGAAAGAAAATGCATTAGTAAAGCTATTCAAACTTGTTTGCAACCTCGAGAAAAGTTTGTTCAAACATGTCCTATATTTCCTAAAAATGCCTGGACTCAATATGACCACGAAGACATTTTGAAGGAGACACCTGTTGTCGAGGAGAAGAAACAAGTGAACGAGGAATCGGAACGAAATAACGATAATCGATCACAAGTAAAAGATATCGATCAGAGTAATGAAGATTTAGAGGACGAGAAGCCTAAAGAAAAAACACCTTTGGAATTATTTTTGGAAACTCGTTCCCAAGAAATGATCGATGTTATTAAATACAACGCGGCTGTTAATTTGTACGTAGATGATATCGAAAGTTTATCTAAACAAGAAAACAAAATTTCAACGATCGAGTTGGCTACGCTTTCCGAACAAGTGTCGTTTATTGATCTAAGTTTTACTGGCAACAAAGCAATTTCGGATATTTCTTTGCATTCGAAATTTGAGCACGTGGCAATCTCGTACATCACCATTTCGAATCGAACTTTAAAAACAGAGTGCTTAAGCGAAGGTGAATTTCAGACGAGAGTGCTTGTCTGGAAATTAAACGATCCTCTTCGTCCACATCTTGTACTTCAAGATCACAGAGAAATTTATTCCGTTTCCTTTTGCCCATACAACGACGATTACGTGATAGGAGGTTGTTCCACCGGACAAGTGATTATTTGGAATATCAATCATTATTTGAACAATATTTTTGATAACAAAACTGTCAAATTTAGAACGGCGCAAAACAACTTGCCAATTCTCCGACCAACTGTTGTTTCTCACAAGCATCACTCTCATCGCCTGCCTATTCGAAAGATTCGATGGATACCTGCCAAATACAGAATAGAGCCAAATGGAAACTTGACAAGATCATCTATTACTTCTAACATAGTGTTTCTAACTGTTTCTGAAGATGGCATAGTGATCGTTTGGAACGTTTGTTTTCGATCGAGACGAACCGTAAATCACGATAGCGAAGATTTCGACGAACTGCTTCATCCGATTTTTCGTTTAAAAATTCCTACTTTTAGCGAGAATTCACAATCTTTTATTCCTCTGTGTTTTTGTCTTGACGAACAGAATGAAAATCCACCGGATACAAACGATTCAAAGAACAAAGATTTTAGAAAATATTTATGGTTAGGTTGTGCGGAAGGATTGATAAAGTGTAAGTGGGGAGAGCATGCATACGAGGGAAATTTAACGGATACGGTAGAGTGTAACATTTTAAATTGCTCGTATGTACATAATGGTCCCGTTATAGAGATCGTACGATCGTCGCATGTTCGAGATGTGCTCTTATCGATCGGTGGACAGGTGTTTGCCATTTGGAACGACGATCATATGGATTCCCCTTTATTTTGGAGAAGAACTTCCGCTCGATATACGAGTTGTTGCTGGGCCAATGAACCTGGTGTATTTTTTCTCGGTAGCGAGGACGGCAATCTTGAAATGTGGAATATAAACAGTGATTCGAACCAACCGATATTCACGCAAGTCGTGTCTTTGAGATCGGTTACTTGTTTAATTCTGTTACCACTATTCCGTGGCGAAGATGTAAAAATGATTGGCGTGGGTGACCATGGCGGATTGTTTCGTGCGTTCAAAGAGGCCGAAATTTGTCGTGGCAGCGTCACAACGGAAAGAATGGATTGGTTCGAGGAATACGCGTGGAGAGAGACGCGAAGGAAAAAACTTTTCGCCAGTTGGCAGAATGATTTTCTCGCTAACGATCCCGTTGTAATAGCGAAGAGATCAGCTAGGCGTGACGAAGAACGTGAAAAAAAGGCAAAAGAAGCGAGGGAAAAGCTTCGAAGGGAACAACAGACACGTTTGAGGCTCGAAGCCGAGAAAAGAGCGCGAAGTGCACCGGTTCCGAAAGACGTTGCATGGAGGTCGAGGGAATTCGATAGAATGAAACAAGTTCTGTTGAATAAAAAAAGGATTGTTCCTACTGAACTCGAGGCGAAAAGGGCTGTTTTCGTTGCTATGAAAGCAGAAAGGGATGCGAAATTGGAAAAAGTTCGAAACAGAATTGCTCATAGGGACGAACATTTTCTTAATACAATATCCGTAGAATTTCCCATACTTTCTGAATCGAAGATAGAAAGTTCGGAATTCGAGAAATTCACTCCGATAGAACTTGGAAAATCGATCGACGATTACGTTGAAAAATTTAATGAAATACGGCGTAAAGCTAAGGAAATGTTAACAAATAATTTCGCTTCTTAAATTCTCTTTTTGTTTAAATATAGATATACTTATATATACGTATAAGTAAAACTTAAGAAAAAAAAGTGGTAAATTGAAATCTTGATTCAATATTGTAAATTGTCGAATAAAACGAATAATTGTTTCAATTTGTTTCAGATTCTTGGTATAATATGCATGATATGCGCATCACCGGCTTATACCCCTGCGACGCATTGGTTTCTATTTGTCATCGTAACATCTTTCATCGCCACCCTATTATGGTGTTTCATTTATCTGCTGTCGATTCGGGAGGCGCTTAAATTACCTATCAATTGGATTTTAACGGTAAAAAACAATTCAAAAAATAGCTCTCATAACTACAATTCTACTTTATATATCTATATACTTATGAAGAATATCTAATTACAGGAAATGTTGAATACATCGATATTCACCGTACTTTATATGATTGCTTTCATCGCACAGTTATCTGCTTGGAGTGCGTTAAATCATGTATATACATCGAGAAATATTGCTGCAGGGGTAAGAATGAACAAATCTTATGATATTCTATCTAATTATATGTTAAAAAGACAAAAATTTAACGATTCAGTCGAAAGTCATAAAATGGCCGGTTTTCATCTGTTAACGAATGTATATATTAAGTCGTCGACAAACACGGCAACGAATATAACGGTTAAAATAATTCTTTTGCGTAGATCTTTGCAATCTTTAATACACTGGCGTACTCTGCTGGGACTTACTTCCTCTACGTGGAATGGAGAAGCAGCAGTAACACGCACTGAAGGAAAACATAGGTACTCGAAACAATATCAGGTACCTGAAGAGCACCTACGACAAAGCTACTACATTCGGGTTGTCGCAATCGTTCATTCAACGACCGATGACAGCCATAAGGTTGTAAAAAGATCAATGGGTCGAAGCTAGTCTAACCAGGCCCCAACTTGATCGTGTGTGGTAGCTTAATAAGAAACTCTTATGTGTACGTGCCTTAAAAATTAGTTAACGAATTGGTGGGTCGCGCCAATTTGTGATTATAGTTTTTTCTGGGATTATTCTCTACCTGGATAAATGTAAAGAGGAATGAAGTTCATGAAGACGGGTTGCATCAGAAAGATATCGACGATTTCTTAAGTTTTTTGTTTTCACGAGTTTCGTCGATTCTCTTCGTTACGTGATTCAATCTTTCACTGTGTAAACAGATATGCTAAGAAGAGAAAAATATTATCTTTTTAAAAAGCAAATCATGCTTTAAGATCGATAAAATCCATATTGGATTGTCGATATTTTCAAATTCTATGCAATTAATTTATATATGTTTCAATCGTTAATGTACGTACCTTATTGAGGCACTTCCCCGTCAAATTTTCCTTTTTCACTGTACCTTTCTCACATTATCGCGACTTTTTATTTATATGTATACACGCATTATATATATATATATATATTTACATATACATATATATTTTATATAAAATAATATATTTGCACAAATTCAATACATCGTTTTCTCTTTTCTTTTCTTTTCTTTTTTTTTTTTATTTTCTTTTAATCATATAGAATATCTATAACGTATAATTTGTATCATTGATCTTAAGAAAAATTCAATACTATACTAGAAGTGAATGAATGTTTTCGAATACATTGTACCTTTTCTGTACATGTTATTTTTGAAATATATGTTCGTTTTCCATATTGTTTTCAAAATTTCTATTTTTGATCATATTCGATAATGTTTCTTAATTCGATTATGATCTTCCCATATTAAGTGAAAAAAAGAATATTTTTAAAGATAATTTTTTAATAATGTTTTTGTTTCACAATGGTTTAAAAGGAAAAGACTTAAATATAGTAACTTTAGATATCCGTAAGAATTACTCATGACTTAAAAATGTGAAACATAAAAAGTGTTAAAATATCTAAATTTATTCCTTGTTAATTTTTTTTAAATTAAACGAATTCAATTGCATAAAATTTATTTATTTTTGATTTAAAAAAGTAAAAATGATATATATCTATATATATTTGAAACAAGAAATTCAAGATTAAATAATAATAACAAATTAGAATCTACTTGTTAAAACTTGTAAATTCAAATATTTTAATTACATTGGTATTCTGAAACAACAATTTCTGCATTTAATAAATTGAAAAGAAAAAAAAATTAATATTTATTGAACAATTGAAAATATCTTAATTTGATTAAGATAATAACTAAAAAATTGTTATCTAATGGACTTAATAATTAAAAACTATAATGTATTTAAGAGATTAAAAAAAATTATAAAAATTAAAATTTATTAAACAATTGAAAGTATTTTATATTTTAATCTTATTATCAAAATAATAATTAAAAAATTATTAATTAAGATAACGATTAAAAACCACAATGCAATTGTATTTATATAATATTAATATTTATCTCTACGAGTGGAATGGAACTAAAATATGATATCATCAATGACGTCACTGTAGTAACGCGCCAGAACGCAAACGTGCACTTCAGTCAATCGCAGGCGTTCAAGGCGCGACCACGTTTCTTATTAAGGTCAGTTTGAAATTTATATGTATACTACGAAATTATATATCGCGCTTACAATACTTACTTTTGCCGGTTCTGAATCATATTAGTGCATTACAATCATATATTTGAATAAGTTTAGCATGTAAATATTTTACGATAATCGCGATAAAGTAAATAAAGTAAATTAGTGATAAATAATTAATCTTTATCCTTATCTTAAGTCTTACTCAGTCAATTATATATATCTTTGACATAAATTTTGACATAAAATTATTTCAATATTAGAAATAATATTAATGTAAGAATATTAGAAATAATATATTTATATAAAATAAAATATTAGAATTTATTTCTTTAACAATTTTTTAAATTATTATCAAATATAACGAAATTAAAAGATTAAAAGTAGTTGACAGTTTATTAAAAAAAAGTGCGAATTTCGGTTGTTATCAATTTCTTTTACAAACGAACTTTCATTTAAAAATAACCGATGACGAAATTTCACACACGTTTATTCATAGTCGCGCTTAATTCGGACACATTCGTGATTTGAATTAAAAAAAAAATGCCGATATATTAGGGATTATACAATTTTTTCTTTCGACACATTAATTTGTAATAAAATTATATTATTGTTAAATATTTTATCGATAGAATTGCTTTATTTTATTTTATTCATACATTCAATATATGTGTTAAATATATCTGATATCTCTGATTATCAAAAGGAGAAAGTAATCCTGAAAGTCTGGAAAGTATCGATCGGTAGTAAATATTAGGGGTGTGACGAGATGAATGAAATGAAAGTGAGAGTATTCGGAATTTCTTTTCATATATCATTCATATATACAAAATCTTATTCTATTTTTATTCATCGTTTGGCAAACTAAGTGTAACATAAAACTTATCAAACTCAAAAAATGAAATTAATATACAGATCTATATTTTTTTTGAAAGAAAAGAAAACACGCATTATTCTTAAATTTCACGAAAGGGAGGAACTTCTAGTGAAATGTGAAGAATACTTAAATGGAGCCTCGAAAAATTTTGGCCTTGGCCTTCTTTGCATTTACGATCTCGCATAAATATTCTGGAGTTATTTATCACTTACATGGTAACATAGTGTTTTACAATTTCAGAATCGGTAAGGAAAAGAATAACTATGTCGCATTCGGTAACTATTAGAACTCAAACGGTAACGAGTAGTTCTACTGCAGTTATCATCAATACTGGCTACTTAAGAACGTGGAGCGGCTCATTTAAATTATTTGAATTAGTAAGTTCTTATATTAGAAATATACATATATATCTCGATACACACTCTACAATTAAATATTTATGGTAATATTAATATTTTGTTAATATTAATATTTTGTTTCCGTTTAAAAAATATGATGTAATTAAATTTAATCATTTTTTACTATGCAAGGCTTAAGAGAATTTTTTTAAATTTGTATTTTAGATACTTGGAATAGTATGCGTAGGAATAGTAGGACATCACATTTCTTCTCAGAATTATATATATGCTGCAGAGCTGTTTTTCTTTTTAATGACGACAACATTTATGATTGGTACTTTTATTTTGCTTTTAAGTTGTTTAGCCTCTCTTTCAACATCTTCTATCATCGCAAAGACTACTTATGTAAGTTTCTTATATTTATAGTAAATTAAATGATAGATATATTAAATATTATTTCTTTTTATTTTAGGAACTCCTTTACCATTCAATAGCATTTGGATTATATCTAGCAGCATCGTTAACATACATAGTACATGTATCTAATATGAAACGTTACAATGAATATGAAGTATTGATGGCGGCAGCAGTAAGTTGAAAAATCAAAAACATCGTATTTTTGTATTTTTATATTTATTATATTTATTATACTTTGTTTTAGATTTGTGGATTGGTAAATTCAGCATTATATCTCCTCAGTACAATTATTGCTCTCCGCACATACAGAGGACTTTGAATATTGTACCTTATACAACCAATTTTTAATATTTTCGAATATTTGAAAGTTGGTTATCATATATTTCATATATATATTTCATAAATTATCATTAATATTTTGATACGAATCATATATAAAAATTTTTATATATAATGATTTTTAATATGATAAAAGAAGTTATTATTTATCATATTTTATATATTTGACACATATTTATACAGCGAATCTATTATTAAATAATATTTTATATTATTTTATAAAATTTATTTATAAAATTTTTATTTATAAAATATAAAAATATATAAATTAATGTAATATTTAAAAAATTTATATATAAAATATATACCTCTGATTAAATATTGAAAGTCTTTTGAACGCAGAGAAAATATAAAAAAAGAAGAGATACTGAGAGAAGGATAGAAATAGAATAAAAATTAGAATCAGAGATAAAAGTCTTTTTTTAAAATGCCGCAAATAAAACACATATAACAAGGAAAATAAAATAATAGAAAAAGAATAAATAGAAGAAAAATAGAATAAGAATTGACATTCAGTGCTATTTCTTAAGTGTCCAAATAAAATAGAATAAGAATTAAAATCAGCTCCATCTCTTGACTGTTAAAAATATTTATTTAAAAGAATTATTAGAAAGATGGCGCTAAATATCAATTCTTATTTTTCTTTCTATCCTTTTCTTATTATTTGTTCTCTTTTCTAAATGTGTTTCATTTGCGGTATCCTAGAGATGGCGCTAATTCCATAATTTTTTCCTTATCTCTGTCCTTTTCCTAGCTTGCTCTCTTTATCTATATTTGTTCTTGGCGCGTAATCATAGATAATACAAGATATCAATTGAACACATTTTCATCATTTCTCTTTACAATCTCAATTCTTAATATAAAAAATTTGTATTATATTCTTAAATACAACTTTATGAAATATAATTTGTGTATTTTTTTATTTTTTTATCATATATATATTTTATACATATACATTATTTATCATAAATATATTATACATTTATGAACATAATTAGGATCAATAAAATTATTTGTTATCCTTCTAGCATTTTGTATAATCTTACAAATTTGATTGTATTTATCGAAAATATTAAATTTTTGTGAAAAATAAATAATTTACATAAAATAAAAATGTATTTTAATTTTTCCTTCCTTCCTTCTTCTCTCTTTCTTAACCTCCAAAAAAAAAATCCTGATTAATTCTTGCCCGAATCAAAGCCTCGTTGTTTTTCTTTATGCAGATCGACGTCTAACTGACGCAATTATATGAGTCAGAAAATTTGAGCGCACGTCGACAAAAATGAAACTTTCGCACGGCCATTGACAGGACGTAGATCTGCACGTAGCAACGTATGCGAGAAGAGTTTTGATAAAGGTGCACAAAGAAAAAGTACAGGTGCGATACGCATAATATAAGCAATTGAATTATGTATGCAATCGCATAAATGTATACAAGCAATCGAAGAAGCTATACATTTTTTCATTTACGATCATCGGATTTACCCAATTAAACCGTGTTGTAACCGTGAACGATCGATCGATAAATAAAAAGATCCTTTTCTCTATCTTTTTTTTTTTTTTTTTTTTTTTTTTTAATAGTAAGTCGTAACATAATCACTTTTTTCTCGCATCGACAGTGGAGATGGTCGGCTACATATTTCGGCGCGGCGCGTGCCAGAAATAGACATCTGTATCCCTTGTGTCGAGTGCGAGGCAGGGGGTGCAACGACATTTAAAACATTCTGCATCGGCACAAGAGAAAACACCCTCAGTTCGTTTCAAAGTGCTCGTGGATGTGGTTCTCTCGAAGAGACATTCTCTTCCTTCTCGTTTAATATATTTATCGATTAAGCGACAATCTCGACAGGTTGAAGCGTATAATGGATCATCGAGTCGATTCATCCTCTGCCTTGTAACGATGCGAATTAATCGCCGTTTAACCAATTAGGGTGAATCAAGAGTCTGGGTGTACACGAGACGGTTTTAATGATTCTATCAATCGTGGCATCCTACGTACGTTTTGGCAACGAATAGCACGTGGAAACAAAGATCGTTGAGTCGACGAACGGATCCGATATCATGGTTAAAAACGGAACTGGCCCCGTGATCCGGATGTCCTCTACAGGCACGCATACCGCTGGAGGTGTCGAATGTTGCTTCTGCAGATGTTGCACGTGTATACATCTGGAATTTTTAAAAACTTTGCCTGGTGTCCTAAAACTCTGCGAAACGGTAATCCTTTCGATTTAAGATCACAATTATACGTTCAAAATATGATAATCATGATAATCAATTAAACACATCTTTCTTCAGATTATTAGCGGTTTAATACAGAGTTTGTTAATTAATTACGGTCTGAGGTACAGTACGACGATTGGCTCGGCTTTCGAAGGATCTTTGACCACTTCTTCCGCTTGTTTCTTAACATCAGCTGTATTACTTGCCTGTTATATCATATCCGAAAAATCGTACAGGTTAATCAAATCATCGTTGTTTGTATGTTGAAATTGAAATATTATTTAATTGATTATCGTTGTATAATAAATCGATTAATTATAATTTATATTTTCTTTTTTTCTAGGAGCTGATGTTCAACTCTTTAGCTTCTTTTCTTTATTTAAGCTCGGCTTCTTATTTGGCATTTTCTACCAAGATATTCCTTCTTCCAGAATATTATATAAGGCCAGGATTCGATGTTTATCCTGCAATGACAGCTGCTTACGTACGTGCGCTTATTTTATATTATTTATAATTTGCTTTCTGTACTACAATCATTTCTCGAAACATCATTGTATCTTTACAGATTATGAGTGGCTTTGTTGGAATACTGCATGGGGCAGACGCATATTTCTCTTACACCCATTACAGGACCGGAAGATGAATTTCAGGGGGAACGAAGTACGTATAAAAATGTCACACGATTCGTCACCGAATCAAGGCTCAAATACAATATATAAAGGGAGTAAAATAATACCAATCGTATATCCTTCGAATTATATTCGAAATTTTTTTAAAAATTGATTTGCATTATACAATTTATAATCAATTGGAATGAAACGAAAAATTTAAAAAAAATATGTATTTATATTTTGAATTCACAATTGGAAATATTATTAATTAATACTTATTTATATTTAATATGCACTCCAGCATTCCAAATTATATGTAACAAACAAAATGTATCAATCGAATATTTTATTCACATTTAAGTATCATTATTTGTAATTATTTTAATAAAAATAAATATATTAAAAAAAACACTTTTTGGTTTTATATTTTTAATATTCCCTAGAGCTTGAAAAGATTTTAACATATCTAAATTCTCTGCATACACAAACTTGAAATCTACATATACTATATATAGAAAGAAAGAATACAGATATGTTAAAATCATTTTAAGTTCCAAATACGAATATATATCCTATCGATCCTTTCCGAATATTTTCATTATATTAGGATTAAAACTATTAAGAAAATGAGTAGATTTTGAAAATAATATAATAGATAGATAACTGATAGGTAAGATAAATAAAAAATAAGAATAAGTATAGAAGTAAAAAAGGTAAAGGTAAGAATTAGTACCGTTTAAAAAATATTAAAAAATATTTTTATTAATAAATACATCATTACAAAAAAACAATGATGTATACCACCAAATTATAAATTTTTAATACAAAAAACCAAGATACTAGTATTAGATATAGAATATAGTAATTAAGAAAAAACATTCAGAATTTAAATATATTAATTATAATCCTTCAAAAGAAAATTAAAAAAACGGAAAAAAAACTTGTTCCATCCATTATATCTGCCAAAAATTTAATGAATTACGAATTTTAGAAATTCTAAAAAATAGATGTAATTCTCAGGGAATTTGATCTTATTTTCAAGAATTGCCAAAAAATTACATAGAAAAATTTTTCAACCTATTATCATATCATGTTTTCTTAGTACAAAATCGAATTTCTAGCCAGAGGTATCGTTCTATTGTTCGAGCTGTTGGA